GATGAAAATCATTGTAGTTTTGTCTACTATACAGGATGTTTATGTCTCAGGACTAACAAAGAATACTAGAAATGCTCTGCAGAGCAGCTTTGTCTGCTTTTTCTTTAAACTGGTGTGCTTCTTCATTTAATGTAGCACTGAGCACCGAGAGAGTTGCTATGAGTCATTGCCGCTCTTCCTGCTGTTCTGCAGGGATTGGAATAACTTCTTAGTGTCAAATCTCTGATTTCTACCCTCCTAACCTGGCCAGTCAGCTTTGTCATGAAAGCTTAAAGCGTGAAAAGATGTCCTTTAAAGTTGTTGTGTTTTTTCTCTTGAGAAGCCATTAGTTATTCTGCTGTGCTTCATTGTCCTCTGCTATTGACTGTGTTGCCTCTTTCAGAAATTTTCTGGTTAGAAGAGTTAGACTGACGTCTTTTCAGTTGGCTTTGCTCTTGATAGCAGAAATGCAAGTATTCAGTTTTGTCTGTGAACTCTGTAGCTTGCAGTTTTCATAAAGAGCAGAAGAGTGCTCATTCCTTGGGTCTTGGAGTCAGTACCACATTGAATCACTTTTGGAAGCCTCTTTTGCAGGTGAAAGGAATTTAACTAATGAAGTGCAGTGATTAGGGTGTGTAGGGGGAAACATGCTAAACTTAATTTTAATAGGAACAGTAGGTTTATTTCTCTGCATTTCCTCAGAGTTACCATTGTATTTGTTAGGGACAGTGGATTTACATAAAGCAACCCTACAATATATCAAAGCCCTTTTTCACCCAGATAATTTTCTAATCCTGATTGTAATAGTTTTATTTTGTTCTGAATTAAGATTTGGTTTGATATTTGAACTGCAAAAGCAGGAAAAAACCATTTAAACACGTAAGAAATTATGTAATGGGTTTGTAACAGCTCAGAAATAATTGTAGCATTCAAAAAGTACTTTGTATCTTGCATCTATTTTGAAGATTCAGAGTATGTAGGAGTAGTATTTGTCTGTTTTACAGTGGAGACAGAACACATGCTTTTTAAAAAACTTGTGTTGAATTAATATTTCTAAAACTTCATTTAAATACTTTATTAAACCTTCCATGATGTTTACAGTATGAATACATGAGGTATACAGTATGAATATGTATTATACCATATATGTACATATGAAATGTATATTATGTTTTAAATAAGAACTCAGTTTAGGTATGACTTACTGAATTGAAGGATCAAGTAGAGCTTTACTTTCTTTGCTTAAGAACTGATTTTCAGCAATTTCCATTTGGATTCTGTTGCTTGGGTCCCAGATCCTCATCCCTAAAAGCTTCTGTTAGAGTCAGGTACTCGTAGTGCTGTAGTACTATTAAGGGTGTGAAATTGGGATACTTTCTTTTGGCAGTCTTGTGATCCAGTTTAAAAAGAAATTACTTTTAAACACGAGGAGGCAGGAGAAAAATAGTGAGAGAAAAGTGAGGATAAAAATAGTCCATCTGTGTATATGTGAACTTATGTCAAGTTTCTGGAATGCAGCTGCAACTTGAGACACTGTGGGATGTAGTGGATGAAGGGCTGATCAAATGCTGTAAAGGTGTGGTCTGGCTGGTACTGAAGGCATTTATCAGCTGCTGTGATAACTGTGGAGTTAAAAAACTCTCCTTTGAAGTGATGGAATTGCCTCCACAGTGAGCATTGTGTCTACTTCTTGTGCTGGTTGGTCAGGATGGCATTTTCCTGCATGTCTTTGTTTGAGATTTTGGTTTATTTTCTTCCCTGTGTTTTGCTCCCTGTCAGGTTAACAAGGAAAGCGATGATCTCAAAATCGTTTGGGGAATTCAGTGTGATTTCTAAGGAAACTGGTCTGTGAGTTTCGGTGGATTTAAACTGGCACAGTGAATTTTTTTATATATTCTTATAAGTAAATAACTTCAGCTGGCTTAGTTTCTGAGCTGGTTTAACATAGGATCAGTCAAGTGCTAGTGCTAGAACAAATCAGAGGGCTGAAGACACTGTTGTGGCAGGACTGATCTAGTTCAACAGGTTGTGAAGCTGTAGCCTAAAGGAGTTATTTTACCTGAAGCCACTTGTAAAATGCATATTTGAAATTCACAGTAGAATTATTAAAAATGGAAATAGTAGGAAAGAATGGAATAAATCTGGAAAGTTTGACATTGAAGTTGTTCAGAAGCTATTAATGCTTGGTCATTATTTTTGAGCTTCTTCAGAGCAAATACATTTCTTATCTAGATTATATCCACCTTTCATTGCCCCCCACTAGACATTTCTGCCTGTTGCAAGTGGTGGATTTCTAGGGCTTGATGGTACCAGGAGACATCTGGGTAGTGCTCCTTTTTGTTGCCTATTAAGGCCTGGTTTGGTAGTCTCAGAAGCATTTTGAAACATACATTTATGTAGATGTACGGTTCTTTAGCTGATGCTATGGTAAGGAAGTTCTTTCAGAAGTATATAAGGAGCTGATTATGGAGTAGCTTTGGCTGCTGTTTGTCCAGTGTCCGTGTAACCCATTGAGGAGTTTGTCCAGGTGTCCCTTTTGGCCTGTATAAGAAATCCCAGCTTGTTTCTTCCTTTGCACAACTTGGGGTTCAGTCTCTTCTTTAGTTAAAACAGCTCTTGTCCTAACTCGGAAGACCTTCCAAGTAATTGTCTGGCATTTTGGTCAATATTTATAGAGGAATTAATATAACACTCTGCAATAGAACTTTGGGTAATTCTGGACTGTACTACTTTAACACTGTAGCCTTTGAACCATAAACGCAGAGTATGGTGCCTTTTGTAAAATTACATTGGTGTTCCTACTTTAATTTTAGGGCCTGATATCTAGAAATTGTTTCCGGTTTGAACCTGCTGTGGTTTATGCATGTGACAGTGAAAGAATTTTTCCTTACAGGGAGGCAAATCTGGGTCCTTTATTGATCTTCTAGGATCTGTGTTAATATAGCAATAATAGCACACTTTATAATTCAATAATACTTTCTTGAGACTCTCAGGACACAACATATTCATAACTTTCATTTTCAGGATAGGTGAAATTTGGGATCGTTAATCCATGACCCTGAGATTGGTACAGTTGTTAGAGCACGGTGTAAGTGATGCCAAGGTCATGGGTTCGGTTCCCATAGACACCATTCACTTCAGCGTTGCACTCCATGATCCTTCTGGGTCCCCTCTAACTCTGATTCTGGTGTGATGGATTCAGAACTGGCATGTTGACACAGACTTCATGGGGAGAAGAGCTTATTTTCTGTGGAAGGAAGCCTTGTGCTTAGGAGAAACTGGGATTCAAAATTACTTTACCCATGTGTTTTGTTACAGTGGCTTCCTTAGCTTGCAGTCATAACCAGTGAAAATATCTTTTGACAGAATGTAAAATGTAGGGGGGAGTGGTGGGCTGTGAAAGAGTGCACTGTGTAGTAGTTCCTTCCTTTTGTCTCTTATAGATCTTTATTTACTTTTGATCCCTTCTTACAAGGATAGTGGTGAAAGGAAAACCAATTACTGTAAAAGTACGAAATACTGTATTTTAGCATAGATGAAGCCACATTTGTGATTTATAGCAGTTCAGGTTTCTGTATGTGGAAAAGATAAATTGTGGATGACTAAAGAGAAAAAGTTAATGACTTTTACAGGCCCCTTTGAATTCCCTGCATTTGTAAATTGTGCTGTTTATCTGTACTTGAACAATTAACATGGAATGACTTTTCATAACTTCTGTGAATGCAGTGTGGAAAGTGGAAGGCAAAAGTGAACATTTATTTGGACATTAATTAACAGAAAGTTGTCAGTCATCACTGAGCTCTTTCTGTTCCAAGGATATATTGGGTGTATATACAAATAGCAAATCATCTGGCTAGTACTGTCCTTCTGTACCTTTTTTTAAAATAAAAAGTCTCATTTCTAATGTGCAAAAGCAAAGAAGAAGCTCTTAATCTTTAATCTTGTGAATTTGCTAGCCATTTTTGTGAATTGCCATTTTAACTGTTGGACTGGTACTGTCTTTTTTTTTTTTTCCATTTTTTCTTGATTCATCTACTTTCTTTGTGCCTTTCTTCTCTTTCCGTCTTCTCTTGAAGGTGGTTCTTCAATGGTCCTCAAAGAAGAAAGGCTTAAGTTTTAGAAAGTAACAGGCTGCTTCTGGAAATCATGGCATAAATTTGGAAAACAGTTTTCATAGTCAAATAAAGCTGTATTTTTTTCTCAAATTTCGTGTTGAAAAAGTATTACTAAAATCTAGTGAATCTTTTCAGTTAAAGTTTATTCTTGTGTGATGTATTTTTAGACTATTCTTTGTTTAGTTGGTTTTTGACGTGGATAAATAACTCTTTGATGTTGGTGTATGTCCTTCCTAAAAATAGCTTTGGAGTTGAAAAGTATTCAGTGTCTCTTGAGTCAGGCTCATGTTAAGTGAGTAGGAAATCATTCTGTCTGCTCTAATGGGGTTTGGCTCAACGTCATGTCACTGTGCATTAGCCAAGCCTCAGCTACTACCATGCAGGAATTTTCCAATGAATATATGTTTTCTTTTCTTTTTAAATGAAAGAATTTTGTAAGGATTTTGTAATTTGTAGTTGCTGTACATTTGAAATACACACTGATCCTACAAAGTCTTATGCCTTTTTAAGTTGTTTTTATTGTCAAAAGAGGTTTTTAAAAGTCATTATCTGAATTAGGACTTGAAAAATCAGTCCAACCTCTGATTATGTCACAGAAAAGAGAGGAAAGTCAGTGTTCTTCTGTTTGTTCCATGGAAGATACTTCTGATAGGTATGGGAAGAGGCTGAGATGTTACATATGTGAACTTTGAGCAGCAGAAAAAAAATTGGCGGCTTTGTAATTCTTTGGCCTCTGAATCAGAATGGGCTTGAACAGAGTAGTTGGAATTTCAGAATACTATTTCCATACCACCTTTAATGTAAAAGCATCCACTTTCTGAAAAATGGAAAAAGGAATGCTTTTCTTAGTATATGTTAACACTGCTGAGCTGTGCTTGGCTAACATTTTTCTTATCTGTTTTATAGGTTTTGTAAAAGACACCGGATTAAATCAAATTCAAATGTTCCATGTGTTCCGAAAGACTTGTTGATGATGTCAGAATTAGTTCTTCCACAGTTCATCTTTAGTCTGATTCAGCATTTAAGAGAGGGATATAATGAGCCTGGTATGTTTTGAATTTGTATGTATCTAGCATATCTTACCATGCTATTACCTCTTGCTTTGCAGTCTATGAAGACACAGTACATGAATGCTATCCATAGTTTATGTCATTGTATTTTGTGCCTCTCTTCCTAACAAAATTACAGCCTGACTAGGTGATTTAATTTTATTACCTGCTGGCATGCTTAAATATGTTTTAATGGTTACCTGGCATTGTGCTGAGCTCTTCCAGAAAATGAAGTAAGGTATAGTTTGAAATTGGTATGTGTGAATTTTAGAGCATTATGAATACATAAATTATTTTCATTTGTGGTGGTTGTAACTGTTCTGCTTGTAGCAGTTTTGGCTGAATTATATTACATCTACACCAAAAGTTCCTCTTATGTGTTTTCAGCTCTTGATCTGCCATCAGAGAAAGACCTTCATAAAATTCTCCAGGTTTTGGAGCCTCATGTTTCCTTCCTAGAAGACTTGACCAAAATGGGAGGTGCAATGAGATCAGTTCTTACCCAGGTTTTAACTAGCCAACAGTTCTACAAAGATCTTAGCTCTGGTATGTTTGTGTTATTTCTAATAATTAGATTTTCAAACTACGAAGAATTAAGGGTGTAAGTTTTGTTTATAACTTCAGTTTCTGCATGTTTTTATTTGACATCTCAAAACACAGAAAAAAGCATATTTTGGAGACTATTACGTTGATAGGGGGGTGAGCTTCAGGAGTGACTAGAAACATTTGTTATTAAGACCTATAAGAGCAAATATCTGATCTTTCTCTCAAATAAATGTATAAATAAACATCTTTTCAGAAAAGTTTTTATAAGAAATCCATTCTAGCTTAGTAGTTCCAAACTAGTCATAACAAGGTTATTTGAAGTATAATATTTCTAACTCATTTTGGGATCTGCTCTCACAGAGGTTACTGGAAGAGATCTGAATGGCAAAAGGCCATTGTCTGTTCTGCATTTCTGTGCAAAGCCTTTTTCATCTTTTTTTTCTTAAACTTTACCCCCCACACACTATTTATTCAATCCTGTACCAAATCACAATGAATCTGAAAATGTTGGCCAGTCACAACTAACCCCAGACTCCTAGTGTAAATAAACTCCATGTTGTTTTCTTGTGATTAAGAGTCCTTTGCATATGTACAGAACAAATAGTGATTCCTGTAGTTTTAAGTTGCCATAAGTGACTTGGGCAGCAGCTGGTTAAAGAACAGGCAATCCCCAAATCTTTGCTTGAAAGGAGGAACACTTAGTAAAGCTGCCTCAGGGGCAGTTCTCTTTATTCTTTCCTTCCTTTTTCTCTCCTGTTATAGTATTCAAATGGGAGTAATTTAATTACTTCTCTTTCCTATATGTGATGGATTTTCTGATACAGAAATACAGAAAGGGAATGGAAGGTAAGACATGCTTATCTGGACTCCTGAAATGGAGAATATGTGTTATTAAATTAAAATATTTGGGGCCATTTTTTAGATCGTTTGCATAGAGTGTGAAGCATATGAACCAAGGAGCTGCTTTTGTGCTTTAATACTGTTTTATGTATCTATTCAAGGTGTTGGAGAGAATGCATGTGCAAAGAAAAGTCATGAAAAGTACCTCATTGCTTTGAAAGGCTCTGGGTTGGCATTTCCTGAGGATAAAATTGCATGTAATATGCAGGAACAAGGAGCTGGAACTAGCACGTTATCTGTTCAAGGTTTGTGTAGAAAACTATTTAAAGAAAAGAATTGATTATTGATGGGTTTTATATAAACTGCTTTGGGTTTATGAAACTTAAGAATTGCCTGTTATTTATTGCACTACCAAACTACAGGACTCTTACTTCTATGAACAAAGCTAAGCATGTTAACTTCTTGTTGCTAATACGCTAAGCACCATTTCTCCAGTCATAATATCAGTGGAATTTGAGTAGGCAAGATGTAATTGCTCATAGTGGAATTTTGCCACTGCTACAAAGTGGTTATCAATCCACAGCACTTCTTATAAAGGTTCTGTGGATTTTATTTTGTTGATCACTGAAGTCCAGCAAAGTTTTTTATTCAATTTCTGAAAGAATGTTTGTTAACACAGTGCACTGAAGTTCTGCAGTGGCATGGATTTGCAAATCCCTGGTATTGTATTGCTTGGAAGTCTTACTCCTACTTCAGTCCGCTGCTGTGTATCTTTTTAAGAAGATTAATGTAGTGTTCCATTTCATACTGGCTTAAATATCTTAAAATACTGCCTTTTCAATATAAGATTTATGAAAAGAATCTCTGAACTTTTTTATTTCAAAAGGTTTGGCAGGTGGTACGGCAACATCAGGCCAAGGGGATTCTTCAGATGAGGTGAGACTTTTTAAAGACTGTAATGAACTGCAACAGAATCTTAAAGGGAGAGAATGCTTGCAGCCAAATCCCACAAATCTTACAACTTATATCTGCCATACATTATTCCAATTTTAGCAATTAGGAATAATGGAGGTATATAGGAATAGATCTCATGCCTTTGATTTACTAAGGACCTCTTGAAAAATCCTGAGTTTTGCTAATACTGTTCCAGTTTCATTTATGTATGTAATGGAGAAGAAACCTGCATAGGTATTCCAGAAATCACTATCAAGTAAATTTGGCTTGATTAAAGCAGACTTAGAGCAGGTAATGCTATAAGTGGTGTTAGCAGTTTCTGGCACTTGAGAATCCAGCTGAACTGGTGATAGCAGCAGTGAGATTTCTCTGTAGATAAATTCCCATGTGTAGACTTGACCTTACTTACCAAACATATGGAGTGGGAGTAAAAAGGAGAGAATATCATTTTAGATTGAGCTTTAATAAATAAGTGGAAGAAAGTTAAATTCTGGTAGAGTAACTTTATCAATTTTCTCAACTATTTAAAACCTAATTTCAGCTAGTAAGCTTTAGCAGACATTTTGGTAGGGTAACATAACAGACTTCAAATAAAGTAAAGAGATATCCCATATAAAAACATTAATCCCTCAGTGTGGCAAAAGCATTTATGGACTGTGTTTCATTTTGATTCCCTGGAACATAAAATCTTAAATAAGAGGACAGATTTAGAGAGGACCTTTTTTCTCCTTTTGCAGAAAGGAAAACATGAAAAATAGCAGCCATCCTTCAGATTAATCTTTTACTTAGAACCATCTACTATTGTTGAAGTAAACCTAAGTACTGAACTGTGCAAAACTTTCCAAACTGTTTAGTTCCCTGCAGATGTACTGCTCTGATTTGTTGTCTATGTAAATTTTGTAATCTAGTGTTGCATCTGTGAAACATTACTACCATTAGATCTTGGTGAGAAAGAACATTTTTAACTTTTCTACACTAATTTTAAATACTGGTGGAAGAACATCCTGTTAGAAGTGTACTCTTGCCACATTTCTTAATTATGACATATTTACTCTGCTCTAAGAGAGTATAATCAGGTATTAAAAACAAACTGTAAATGCCCTGTGTAACTCACATGGGGGTACAGAGGAGAGGAATGTTATTTTTCTGATAAGCATTTCAGCTTTCCACCTGCACAGTCTATTTTGAATTTTGGATGAAAGGTGTGAACTTCCTTTTCAGTAATTTGTATTTGTAAAGCAGCTCATGATTAAGAACAAGATTATAAAATAAATAATTAACTTTCTTTACTGGTGGTTTTTTCAGGGCAGGAGACTTGAGTTGCAGAGTCCTGCAGTTCATAGTAATATCCCAGCAAGTCTGATTTTTTTTCTTGAGAATACATGGCCCCTGTGACTGGGGACTGGCAACATCCTGAGAACTTACTGACTCATTCCTGATGGAAGTACCAAAGGTACCCTGTGTTCACAAAGACCACAGGATGCCTAAGTATTCAATTGTGTGTCCATCTTAAAATGAATTTTCAGATGGATGAAATGAAAGGGTAGACAAAATCAGACCTTTCGTTTGCACCATACTTGTGGTCAGTCCTTAGATATAAAGTGTGAACAATCTTCTTCCTCAAAGAAGGATAGTAACTTCTTGAGATTCAGGTTCATTATCATTCCAGAGAAATTTGGAAGTAAAACATGGCATTTGGTTAGAGGAGAAGGATATCGAGTACTTATTTTTAACAGTAGGTATCTGCATTAATTATATCTCATTTTATTAGCTCCAGTAAGAATCTTTATTTCTAGTTTCATTAGAAATACCAGTGTTGGCAAAGATCCATGCAACATTTAATATGCTCCTGTAATGTCACATGCTTTTTTAAGATACAGTGTTAGATTTTGTGAAGTGGTGGTGGAGATGTTTTTAACTTGTATTACATTTTGGAACCTTTGCTCTTTAGTTTGTGGAGTACCTTGAAAGCTTCAGATGACAAGTGCCTGTGTAAAGTGTTTCTGTTATTCTGTAGGGAACAAGCAGTTAGAATTGGCCTCTTAAAGGTGTCAAAAATACTTTATTCAAAAATACATATTTATACAAAAATGCATCAAAAGTTTATATTGGTTAGAAAGTATATAGCTAATTATATATGTTGCCAACTTTGATTCACAATATATTGGCTGGTATTTTTTCTGTGAAACAAAACCTACAGTGGGTAAGGTAAAATCTTAGATGTGCAAAGGTTAGAAATTTTATAGTGTTAAACTTTTGTAGCAATCAGTTTTAGAAATCAAAGCAACTAACCTTACAAAATAAATGAAATAAATGTGGATGATAAGGCTGCCTGTAGGGAGAAAAAGACAATTAAAAAATTGTTTTTATCTAAAAGGTTGCACACAATGCATGATTCCTTTAAACAATAAAAGTGTTTTTCTTGTAAGAATATATTGAAGGCTTCTCTGTTTTAGTTTGGTAGTTAAACCAGAATTTTGAGAGCTTACCATTTCTTGGCAATAAGTTTATAAGCATATGATTGTCAATTTTTAAAACTCTTCCTCTACCCCAGGAGGACCAGGATGGTAGCCAAGGTGTGGGAAAGCGCAAGAGGGTGAAACTAAGCAGCACCACCAAAGGTATTTATAAAGTACTGATCTCAGTTATCATGTTTGCTTTATGTTTGCTTAAAAATATCCAGGGATACTCAATTCACTTTCTGAGCACTGTTGTGCTGCATGTGACAGCTATTAAACATAACAAAGTCTAAAAAGGAGTAGCAAATGAAAATGTGGTAATTGGCAGGTTAGATTTCCCTTGAGTGAGTACCTCTGTCTGGGACTCTGACCATTTTGTCACCTCTGTGTTGTAAGCTGACCTCCAAAAATTCATTCAGTTTACACTGTGTGCCTATCAAGGCAGCAATATAGCTTTACAAAACAGGTGTTTGATGTATTTGTTCGTAGCAATTTTTTTTGATTGTGCCGCTGTGCAGTATGATTGTGTTTACAGCCAGGCAAGAATGGTTCTCTGTGGTTCTGGTTGGTCTTTTTGTACTGTTTATTAATGTTTAAGATAAAATACTTGAATGAAGTCTCTCTTGAAACCACTTCATTATTTTTCTAGCTTGAATTTGCAGTTTCTAGTCCAACATGAGTAGCATTCACATTGAGGTCAGTGCAAGTTTTAATTCAAGAATAACCATAGGCTAGACAAGGTACTTGTGCTTGACATGTTTCTGTGCTAAAAAGTGTTTAATAATATTTAAATACTATTGTTAAATAAAGAAGACTTTTTTTTTTTTTTTATGAGTGTGAGGAGACTGACATTGGAAGTGCAAAGAATTGAAAGTCTTGAGACAAGAATATTTGGGTGGAGGAATTGTAGTGAAAGTTGGATTAAAGTTTCTGGAAGGTCTCTGGAATGAAGGTTTGGAGCCTGAGTTTTAAATGCAGAGGTTCATGAGTCAATGAAATAGTATGATATGAGGAGTATGGATAAATAAGATTGATAGCTTCTAGTGTTTCCAGATTGAAGGAAAAATTATGAGAAAGCTGAAAAAGCAGAGAACTAAATGTTCTGACAACAGTGTTGTTTAGAGGTGATCTTAAAAATGGTGTGAGAAAGATTGTGGTAGAGATGTGGAAGAGGCAGTAGTTTTGGAGAAATGCAGGAAATAGAGGCATGCAAGGAGAGTTCTCTTACTTGGATTTAAGAGGCTGTTAGCTTGTCTAAAAGTTGAATTAGAGTCAGGTAACACAAGAAAAAAATGCTGGTGTTCTGATGCATAATAACTAATTAGGGAAAGAGACAGGGAGGAAGCCCAGATTTAGAAGCTTCCTGATCAGAAAACCAGTATCAGCAGTGGCATTTCAGGATAAGTGATACTTGAATTCCACATTTCATTTTCCCCCAGGATTGTAGTCTTCCCCCTCTGAGGCATCCCAACATGGACTATGATCATGATGTTGATAGCTCCTAATATCTGCCCCAGAGGAGGGAGTCTGCCAAAGGGGGAAGGTAAGTATCTGTTTTTATTAAATATCAAATAGTTTTCTGAAGTTTTCAGTATTCATATTTTATGTCCAATAGGGTATAAAATAAGAGTATGAAAAGAAAATTTTGGAAAACTGAGTATTAAATAAAAACAGATTTACCTTTTCCATATAAGCAAACTCCCTATCCCTTCCTAGCTCTGCAGTGGTACTGTTTTCATCCAGGGTTATATACTGTGGGTATATTGGAATGCTGTCTTACATTCCAGAGGGATATTTACAACACTCTGTGAGGTGTTTTGTGGCACAAAGAAAGTATAAAATATTTCTTTAAAGAAAGTACAGTTTTTAAGCTGAGGTTCACTCATACAGGTATGGGACTGAGTACTGAGAATTTTTTTTTACTCTGTTTTAAAACTTCGTCTTGCATCCATCTGAAATACCAGATGTTTTTTAAACCTAGAGGCACTATTTTTTAAAAATTAATTTAAAATCTAGTGATGCTTCTCAGAAGAGTGGGAACATTAGTCCCAGCGTTCTTGACAAATTTTCCAGGTTTGGTAAGAGCATCCTGTCTACTCAAGTTGTATAGCAGGTGTAAGCAGATGTGTATTGTTGTGTCCCTGCCTGAAACTGCTGCATGAAGTATTGGATATGCACTGTTCACCCATGCTGTGTGTCAGAGAAAGCTGCGCACTCAGTGACCGATGCAGTGTTGTGCCCTCACCTTGCCTGGTGTTCTCACTCAGACGCATTTGGCATGTACCTAAACTTGTGCTCTCTGTTCTGTGGACGGAGGACTTCAGTCTTGCCTGGTCACCAAGCTTTCGTGGGCAGTCAAATCACACGTGCAACTTCATAACGAGAGTTGAGGAAGAGAGCATAAATGAGCATCATATGTTTGTTGCTGTAGGTGATTTGTAATACCTCACAAAATAGTTTAATATTTAGTCATATTACAAAATATTATAATATTTTAATATATTTTATGATTCTGTGAAGGTAATGTTTTATATCAATGCTTGTCAAATATATTGAATAAGACATATTCTTTTTTTTTGTGACTTGCTTAAGTCTTGAGGAGAACCCTAAAATGTAAGTCTGGACAAATTGGTTACTTGCCTGGGGAACTCTCACACAGGGTACTGGTAGAAAATTGAGGTAATTCCTGCTTAGGAAGAGCACAAATGTCTGTCTTGCCTAGAACAGGCACAAAGCTATCCAGTGCAGTCTCTAAAGCTGTCACACTTCAATGAAGATGTGAGTCTTCAAGACCAGATGATGTTCAGGGTAAATGCTTTTGGATGTGTGCAGATGGGAGCACTTCGTGCACTGCTGTTGGAATATGTGATTTTGTGTGGAGTTACGTATCCTCAGGTGTAGTTGATTTCTAGGTGTAGAGAATTAGTAGTATTATTACTTTATTCTTTAGTCCTCGTATGTTACTGGAGTGAACACCACCTGTTGTAGTTGTAAAGCATAAATAATCAACCTCTTGAAAAATGATAATGAAGAGTCTTTATATTTTAGTTTTTTTAAAACAGAGTTCATATGATTCATGCTCTATCAAGTGATCATTTAATGCAGTTTTTTCTAGCAAAGATCAGATTGCAGCTTTGCAATCAGGAAACTGATCTGCTTGAAAACAGAGCTGACAAAATGGAAAGGTCCTGGACTTGATTCCTATGTAGGTTCCCCACAGGGATCTACTATCAGTATGAGTAAAGGGGCAGAGTGAATGGGCAGAAAAGGGGAAAGATGAGACTGTCTCTCCGCGACCATCAGGAGCTAGTGCCTCCTGATTATCTGGTTATGGTAATTTTTCTATTAAAAAACCCCAGCAAACAACTTAGTGGTTGGCCAGTCAGTGCATGTACTGCTTTGAAAGTAAGAATTAAGGATACATTACTGCTTCTGTTTATTTTGTTTAGAGCTTGGTAAAGTGTTGTTTAGGTAATAGAATTCATCACTTAATCATAAATTGTATTTTGTTGTTTTGGTAATTTAACTTCAGTTAAGTAGTCGTCTACAGTGTTTCCTTTGGTTAAGTAGTTGTATAAATATTGTGCAATTTGCTGTCATGCATTATAATCAGTGCAGCTATTATGGTAAGGTGATGTGATTCAATGCAATCAATGAAGATTGTGCTCTGTGGTAGAATTGTACTGAAAACTTTCACTGGCTTCTCTGGAAGGTTCTTTTTGTAGTTACAGACTCTGACACTCTGCAGTATTGGTGATCTTCATCTTCCCAGTGTTGAAAAAGAAATCATTTACAAAATAAATTAAGACGTTCTTAAATTTTTGTTTCTGAATTTCTATATGAGTGCAACCGCACTGTTATTGTTCTTAGTTTTAACACTTACTGCATTACACATGCCCTGCTTCAACTTTTTATGCAGATCAGTCTATCATGGATGTTTTGAAGCATAAATGTTTTCTAGAAGAATTATTATTTTGGACAATAAAATATGAGTTTCCACAGAAGATGGTGACTTTCTTACTCAACATGCTACCAGATCAAGATTATAAGGTACTTGGCCTTACTTCATTTAAACCTAAGTGTCTTTTTATATTCACACACTTAGTGTGTATTATCCCTTGCATGACACCATGTATGCTTATGTTTGAATAATAAGCAGTAAAATAATGCAGATCTTTTACCTTGTTTTGAGTATTTGATAAGAAGTTCCTAAGTGTTTAGTATTTGAAAAGCAGTGTGGACAAAACAAGATGGATAAATCTGGAGCAGCACTATTAATTTTGATTTCATGGTTTATTTTCCATTTTGTCTGTTAGTGCATGTTTGCATGTGTTGGATTTTGTTTCATTTGATTTTACTTTGTAAATTGGTTTTCATCACTTAAAACATGTGGATCAGGACTGTATGATTCTGTAGTGTGGTATGATTAGGGAATAATTGCAGTGATTTCATTCCTGTTTCAATTATTGTAGTAGGCAGTGGTTTTCCCACACAGGCCATTACAGTGTGAGTGTTCTTGCTGCAGCTATGCCCTAGGTGATGTTGGCAGCCTTCCAGGTGCTTCCTTACAGAGTTTTGCAGTTGTCCCTCTGAATTATCTCCTGGCCCATAGTTGTGGAGACTGGATGTCATCTTCCTGTTTTAAATCTTGGTGTGCAGCCAGGTTTGGTTGTTTGCTCCACATGTTCCCAAGACCTAGTATACATAGCAATCGGGCTTAACATTTTGCTCTGATCATGTCATACCCTTGAGCCATGCAAATATTTTGGACCTTCTCAATGCCTGCTGGGAGGAAAAAATCAAGAACTTCTGAAGTCCGGACATGCAGATTTCTTCAAAAATGTCTGTTTATAATGGGACAACCCTGTATTTGTGCCCCCTTAAAACCTTGCTGCATCAAAACAAAGGACATGAAGATAGCTTGCAAGGAGGAAAAAGCCAGGATATGGGCCTTGAGCACTACTGTGTCCATCTCAAGATACCATTTTGGTTTGGGATACCAGCATAGATTCGTCTTGGTCTTAGATTCAGCTAATACATGAGGAGACATTAGGACTTCTTAACTGATGATCCGTTGCTATGAAGCTTGAATTCTTCTTGATATTTGGACACACACATGGACATCCAGTTCTCCTGATCCATTGCCAGCTAAATTCCTGCCTGTAAAAACACCCAGCTGCTAGCAGCATGCAGAAGAATCTGGTAAGTGTTCCTGTGTTTCCCTTACAACTGTACCATGTAATAACATCAGCTTCTAATGATTGCGGGATCTTTCTTCCTTTGACAATGAGCCATAGTCTTCAGTGACTTTCTTTATTCTATTCATTATCTTTCTTCACTCAGAATGGAGATCATGGTTTTAACTGGTCTCTCTACTAACTGCCACCTTTTGCTGGAAATAGTCCATTTTCTACCCACCAATACTGCAATGCTCAGATTGAAAGGTTTTTATAAACTTTTTTGGTTGTTTGGTTTTTTTTGTTAAGGATTTCAAATTGTTTTTCATTAAACAGTTAATTCCTATGTTAAAGCTTTAGTAGAAGCACAAATACCAAGTGTTACAAAATTTTTTTAGAATCTGTGTTTAATTGTTGTGATTGTCTAAATGGCATTTTTAAGTAGTAAGGAAACTCAGAGCATGAAATATATCACATAGCAGTACTAGGGAGGCAGTGAACTATTTTTTTGCAAGATACCTTTGCTTTGTTGCAAAACTGTCAATGCTGCATAAATTTCAAACATGTTTATGAGGCCTGTGGTTAATTTACAAGGAGTGGCTCTGCCTTTTGCATGGAAAAGAGAGAACATAGCATTTTGGGATGAGTTAGAAGAATGTTTTATCTTACATGCTTCCATTTAGCTTTTTTGAAAGAAAAGCTTGTTTCCTGATCAATCATACTGCATTCTCAAACAGCAGCAATACCTCTATGGATTTAAACTCTTCCAAACGATCTCTCAGCTTTCTGCTACTTTCTCTCATCCCATCTACACTACATGTACTGTTCTAATTTTTTCTGTATCTGCTGTTGTGCAATTTATCTGATTCTTTGTGAGGTGATTTAGCTCATTAAATCAGCAGAACTCTGCTAGGTTGGATTCCTAATAAACTGAGGGAGCTGGCTGGACACAGAGCACGGAGCTGGCTATCTGTATATGCTTTGAAATTGTTGAAATCTCTGACCTCCAGCATAAGCGTATGAGAATCCATCATTACCCTGTACAGCAGTCTCTGAACCACTAGCAGTCTCGGTTACACAGATTTTTTTTGAAATAGGAAAACAAACTTCCCTTTAAGGATTCCCAGTACTGAAAAGAGATGTTGAAAGGGGTGGGCTAAAACCCTGGGTTGACTAGCTCTTCCCTCTCTCCCCACTTTGGCAAATGAGAGAGATAGCACAACAAAAAGTGTGGTCTTTGCCTTACAGATTTGTGCTTGAGGCATCCCTTCCATCACTCTCTGACATTTGAAGCTTGGAAGACTTACAACTGAAGAAAAAGCAGAAGAAAAATTTATTGGCGCTTCCAAGAAATTAAAGGTGCTATGGTATGGACAAGAGGAAAAACAAAAGGCCCAAGAAAGAGACTTTCATGTGACCAAGGAGAAGGCAAAGAATGTGTTGGCAGTAAACAGGAAGATGGTGGAAGAGTGTAAATCATCCAAGAGCAGAGCCTTGCTGAAATCTTGCTGAAAAGTGCAAAAGCATCTGGTAGACATAATGAATCAACAAACAATTAACGGAAATGCTGTGGTGTGTCAGGCACCTCCCATAGTGACTCTTGGGGCAGCTATTACAGCAATAGGACTTCACTAACTCCTGCATATGCTGTTCTACAAATTCTGTAGAGCAGTTTTTCTATTGGAACCTTAATTTTAGTGCAGCATTCAGCTGGCATAAATACTTTCCATCTTAGCATTGAGAATATAAACATGGGAGATGTAAGTTCTAACTGAAGCATGGGGTTGTTGTTAGTCTCCAAAGAGTTCTGGAATTGAAGTTAAGTGGTCACCAAGAGGAAAGGCTAGCTGAAAAAATTAACTTTGTTTTCTATAGGTAGAAATTTAAAAGCTGCTCAAGACCATAGAGAGTAAGTCAGTAAAGATAATTAGATGCACAGAAAGCATGTCTGTCTTAGGAACGATTTCTTACAGAAGGTTGGAAGCTGAGTATTTGGAAACATGTTATGACAGAAATTGCATTCTTGTTGCATTCTATATTTTTCCTTAGTTGTGTATATAGCTTCGGCCACTGAAAGAAAGGATATGTGGAAGGACTGTTTTGGCCTGCTATGGCTGGTTGTATGTACTGACTGCAGTTTACCACAGTATTTCAGCTTCTTAACTTCTGGAATGAGTTTAGTTTCTGCCACTCAAAATTGGAAAGGGTTGTATTTGTTTGTTTAACCTGCAAATGAATGTAGGAGTAAAGCTTCTGTCTTTCCTTTAGTTAAGTCTTTTACAGAGTCTCTACCATTATACTGTAGTGAGGGCAAATTTACAGTGCTTTCAGAAGTTCATTATTGTAAACGAGTGAGGCACAAAAAATTTTGATGCATGCCAATATAAACTAAAGAAAAAAATATCAAAAATTTGTCCTTAAGGAAGGACCTTGCTTTTTGCAGTCAACTTGAATGGAGCGTGCTGTGTAAAACAGTTTCTTCATCGCAGAACCAAAAAATCCTTTTTAAACGTAATACAATGTGAAGAAGTAATACATAAATAAAATATACTCTTTTACTAGCAGTGTTAATATACTAACTTCTTAAAATACCTGCTACATAATTTCTGTCTGAGGATTAATGTGAATTAGTATGTAATTAACATTAGTGTGACTGTCTTGATGATAAGTGCTAATGCCAGTGATGAAAATTGTTTCAAGCCTTTAACTTAAAGGAAATTATGTGATGGGAATATCAGTCATACCAGAATGATACTGTATTAACTTTGCTCAAGTGTTGAGAATACGTTGTGCCAAAAACGCTTTAGGTGAAAACCGTGACCACTGCTGGGTGCTATCTGTGGAACCTACTTTCAGTTATTATACAGGTTTCCATCACTGCCAGCCAGGTATGGAAGGCAAGTTAAGTATTCTTGCAGTGTTTCCTGAAGTGATATCCCCGTTCTCACCCTGGTTCAGTTTCTTGCATCAGCAACTTTATCTTTGGGGATAATTGCTGGGAGAAGCAGTTTCTGTACCTAACAGCAGAATTAGGTCATCATATTTTTGGAAGTATTTTTTAGGTGATAATAACACGATAGTGCCATAATAAAAATATGGGAGCACTGAATCTAAGGCAGATCAAATAGTGAATCTGTATATGGTCTGGTGAAAGCATGGCTACTGAGTGTGGTTTAAAAATTTGTAATTTTATGCTTATGAAAGATTAATGCTTCCAGAAGGAATAGGCAAGGGATTTTTAGACTTTGGATTTTTATCACTACACAGCTTGTCATCTTACTAAGCCAAGCAAGTCCAGATGGTGTTCATTGAGAACCTAAAGTACTAAGTGAGAAGTGATTTCAAAACTAGCAGATATGTTCATGTATGTGCACTGAAAAGGTTGCATATGTAATAATAATAATAATGCATTTTGAGGCTAATGGAGTGGAATACAGAACTGTACTAAGATTGTTATATATATATGTACAATGCATTTAAATAACAGTCTGGTTAAAAAGACCACTAACCGTTCTGTGAAGAATAACAAAGCTGCATAATTAATTTAGTTATTGAGGGAAAAGCACTAAAGGTTTATTTCAAAAGTATAGGATGATATGACAGTAGAAATGAAAATCAGTGTAGAAATGTCTTGCTTGAAAATGAATTAAAACCTTATTTCATGGTTAGAAATTGAAACATTACTTCATGCTTAGATGACTGCAAGTGATAAGGCAGCTTTATAAGGCACTACTAAACTAATTGTTCATAGTGTATCATTTTAGGACGTCCTGTTGTAAGACGTACAAATTTAGGATAAATTAATTATTAGAACTTTACTACTTTCATGGGCATGCTGAGACGTATTCCTCGTTTGAACATTTCTGGGTTGGCTTTCTTTAGTGTGGAAAGTACAGAATGAGACGATTAGATTCTGGGGAAAGGTAATAAAATTAGCAGCCTAAGATACCCCTCCCTATAAATAGGTCTTTTCATTTGGTCTGTTTCTAGAAAACAGTCATCACTTTTGGTTTGTCATAGCAACCAGTGTTTCCCAGGGTATGTTGATGGTACATTCATAAAGGAATATTTTATAATGAAAGAAAGCTATAAATTTTGTATGATGCTTATTAATGTCAACGTTTCTTTATAATTTGCAGATTGCTTTTACAAAAACATTTGTTCAGCATTATGCTTTTATTATGAAAACGCTGAAGAAAAGCCATGAATCAGACACCATGTCTAATAGAATTGTGCATATCAGTGTTCAGTTGTTCAGCAATGAAGAACTAGCACGCCAAGTAACAGAAGAATGCCAACTGCTGGATATTATGGTCACTGTTCTGTTGTACATGATGGAAAGTTGCCTTATTAAAAGTGAATTGCAAGGTAGGTTTAGTTGTTTGTTTGTTTCTTTACATGAATAATACATTGATTATAGAGCAAATTTAATCTTTCTTTGGTGGTCAATCCACCTTTCTGATGCCTTTCCAAAAATGTACAGGATGTAGCAATATATGGTAGAGGATGAGTCTCAAAATTCCCTGGAAATATAAAGGTAGTTATCAGGAGTGATGCTAATATTTTATCCTTTGGTTTGTATGGGGTTTTTTTTAGGAATGTTACATGGTTTAGAATGCAGGTTATTACCTTGCCACTACTTAATTTGTTGTGTGAAGTGCATAAGCAACTATTTGAATGAAAAATTATATACACAAACTGAGACCTGTATGAATTTTAAAAATATTTTCAAAGATTTTCACAAGCTATTTGCAGTATTTAAAATGGTTTTAAGTTTTAAAACTTGTGATTGCCTTGATGTAATTAAAGGTGAATAATTTAATATTTTGTCAATATAGCAATTTGATCAACCTTTTGTTTGATAAAGTGGCAGTTTGGATTTGAGCTATTGTAGATTGCATAACTTTTTTAGTGAAAACAGCTGTTCTATTTTCACCCTCCTTGTTTTACCTGTCCTTATATGAAAGTGGCACAATTGATCTTGCTGACTTCTGTCATTCGCACTTTTACGTGCCTAACAGACTGGAGACCTCTCAGCCCTCTTTATCCTAGTTTGAATCTGAAAGTAGCCCCTAGACAGGCTGAGTGCTGCTGATAAATAAGTATCACTTCTGCATGAAATTGAATTTTTTTTTCCCAAAGTATCCTTGTCTCAGAGTCCAGTCTATGTATAGCCTAAACCAAAATGACTGTGCAGAAATGGGAAATCCTCACTCACCTAGCTATCAGGAGTGCCCTCGTTCAGCAGCACTTCAACAGGAAAATTTTTTCTCTTGCCCTACATAGACTGCTTTATAATATGAAAAAGAAAATGCTGAATATTTAGCAGTTTGTATATCAGGTGATTTTTGCTAAATCAATGCCATATTGGTGGAAAGTAATTTAAAACTATTTCTAAGCATCTTTTGAATGTTACTTTTTGGTCAGTATGGAATCTTGCTAGCATGGTGGTAAGGTTCTGTAATGGATCAGAATTGCAGTACAGCAGAAAAAGGCTGTGACTATGATTAGTCATTTTCTGAAGAATCTTCCTGGTAATTAATGGATGTAAACTGGAGCTGGTAAGCTAAATATTGTTAGATATATTTGTGATAGATGTGTGAGAAAAGAGCAGTTATTCCACTGTTCTATTACTCTTTTCCCAGCACCAGCGATTTCTCTAAGCTAAGATACCATTATAGAATTATAGAATCTTTTATGTTGGTTGTTGAGTCCAACAGTAAACTAGTACTGCCAAGTCCACCTCTGGGATATGTCTGGTTCTTTTCAGTGTTTTCACAACATTTTCCCCTCACTGCTTTGTGTATAAGGGGTTGGGCATACTGTAAATGGACAGAAAAGAAATAATAAAATTTGTTATTGTGGTTTTGCCCTCTCATATTCTCAATGGCCTTCTTTTGCAGTTCTTTGAGCTTGTATCTTGTGTTTAGTTCAAGTTATCTTTTATAATGCTGAAATAGTGAGAAGTCTATGCTGGTGAGATAAATTAAGAAGAATTTTGTTTGTGCAGCTACTGTAAACAATAGGTTTTTTAGTATCTGAATGAGACAAAATTTACAAATCCAGCCAATGGATAAGTGGAGAAAGCATGTTTGAGAGGAGCAAGGAAAATATGGAGCAGAACTTGTGTGTGTCACAGCATGTTTAATTTGCATTGCTCACAGAACCTAACTGTCTTTGGAACAGCTGACAGCTGTTTAAAATGTACAGTTCACTAAGGGTATTTGTGGACAAACTGTTTTAATGAAACAGTTGGCCTCTGTTGATACCAACTTTATAAGTGTTACTAACTCAGTTTACGTCTCTCACACCTAGCGTGAAAGGATGAGGGGTAGAAACATAGATGCAGGTAGTAAAACTGGCTCCCTAAGGAGATTTATGTCCATATGTTCTTAGAGAATTTTTTCCTCTCTATCAGCACTTTCCTCCTAATGAACTTTATATGGGAAAAGGATTTTATTTATAGCCCCAAGGAAAATGTTTTGGTAATGGTTTATCCTTTGAAAATCTCAAAGTGACTTTGCATTAACCCTGGCTTGTGGAGTACTCTGAATGAGGGGCAATGCCAGTGTCCATTTGAAGTAACTTTGCATTTGTCTGATCTATACTGGACTAGATGTAATTGTTGGTCCTTTGCAAAATCCTTCAGCAGATTCAGTCAGAGATGCTACCCTGTTCTTGGACAGGCCAAAGAGAACCACTCTACACAGAGGTTTACCTCACCATCCAGTGACTGGAGTATCTTAATAAGTGTCTTTTCTTCTGTTCTTCTTTCTGTGGAAATAGAATAATAACTGGCATGGGTACTGGAAGTTGTTTTGCTTGGATCATGAATCCAGAACCAATTCTGTTTCCCTTCTGATCTTTCCAGGATTCCCTCTTATGAAGAGAAAACAAAGAAATTTATTTGGCAGATGGAGAAGATGAACTTCTGTGATTTGGGGTGGGAGGGAAAGAAACACCTCCCCCCCCCCCCCCCCCCCCCCCCCTTTGATTTCTTATCCTCCTCTTCTAGGAACCTTCTCCTGCCCTAGTCTTGGACTGGCTGCATAACCCCTCTCTCTGTCCCAAATTCAGAGTGGAAGTGTTTTGCTCTGCTTTTTTTCAGACTCAACATGCCAGTGTAGGTTTTGATCATCAGATTTCTTCTTGAATACTGTAAGGTACCTTGCTCCCTGGGGTTATGTCAAATTCAAAGTAGAATTCAGGTGTTTGTAATAGGAATTGTATTGTTTGGGTTTTTTATAATTAAAAGTGTTGGAAGAGCCATAGCTGTGATGGTTTTCCTAATGTGCTACTTTCTAGAGGTTGTGCTGTGTAGGTCAGTCCATGATGAAAAAACAACCTCAGGTACCATGAAAGAATAATTTTAGTTTTCTGCCGTTTTCTCTTGTGTGTGTCTGACCCCAGCATTACAGTGCATCCTAATGGATATTTTTGCATTCTTTTGTAACTTTATTAATAAATGAAAGAGATTACTTTGTCTTCTCCTTTTGTTTTGTTTTTTTTTTTTTTTTTTCTTTTAAATCTAGATGAAGAGAATAGTTTACATGTTGTGGTGAATTGCGGGGAAGCACTACTGAAGAATAATACTTACTGGCCCCTAGTTAGTGATTTTATAAACATACTTTCACACCAAAGTGTGGCAAAGAAATTTTTGGAAGATCATGGTCTTTTGGTAACATGGATGAATTTTGTATCATTTTTTCAAGGTATGTGATTTTTATAATCAGTACTAATACAAGGATGTTAAGACTGATAGTGTTCACTGTAGCAAAATCCCTACAGTGCTGTATGTATGTATTTAGTCTGTTAAATTAAGATTGTATTTATTGAAAAGATTGTATTGATTGAAGAGAACAAGATTGTATTTATTGAAGAGAACAGTATATTCTAGAAAACAGATTACAAAAATTATCTAATGGATCTTCTGCTTGTGTGAAGTAGTTGAAGAGCAGTCACATCACACTTAGTCGACTGAGATCTGTGGTGCAAGAATTCTGAGGCTGTACTTAAAGTACAGATCACAACTGTAAACCCAACTGTTTTACTGGTGAAGTTCTAAATTTAAATATACAGGAAATTAATCTCATAAATCTGGATCTTTTTGTAAGTGTTGCTGTAAATATAATTTTTTTGATGATATTAGATAATATTTTAAGATGGTGTATCTCAATGCTGATAAATGTTTTGCTTAGAAAGAGGACCAGCATTCAGATGTTCTAATTGTCTGAGTAACATTCAAAGTGGAAGTTCATGTCTCCTGAACAGCAAGGACTGCAGTTATTAGCCAGTCTTTTATCTTTTCTGGTATATTTCTGTTCAAACTTTGTTTTATCAAACATTCTTCCACTAGATAAAATAGATTCTTACACTTTGTGGAGTTGTTTTTAGAGGTGTGTAAATGCATAATACTAAAAAGACTGCATTCCATTTAGCCCTAATTAAATCTTGGGTTTAACTCTGCTTAAATATTTGAAGGTATGAATTTAAATAAACGGGAGTTAAATGAGCACGTGGAGTTTGAATCACAGACATACTATGCTGCCTTTGCTGCTGAGCTGGAAGCCTGTGCCCAGCCAATGTGGGGTCTGCTGTCACACTGCAAAGTTAGGGTAAGGCAAACATTTCCCTCTCATGATTCTTGGTTTTATTCATGACTTATTCTAGAATTCTCAAACCTGAAAAAGCTGCCTTGTGTTTGAAGAGGCTTTGGTTTGGCTGTATTTGTCTATTTAAATAACATAAAACTCTAATCAACTCATATTCTGTGTATGAGTGTAGAATTCATGCTTGTAAATAATTTGTTGTCTCCAGTACTGGGACTACAAGTTCAGGATGTGTGCAGTCATTTCATATGACTGTACATATGGAATAACTTCTAATCTAATGAAGAGCTTGATAAATGCCTCTGAGTCATTCTGTCTTTGTTCAGTGGGAACAGAGATGCATAAGTCATCCTAATGTCATTCTAATGTTGGCTGTGTCTGTGAATAGACATTTCATTATGATGGGAGATGGAGTCATTTATGGATTTGTGTGCTTCTCCTATCAATTTGAGGTGAAAACTCTTGGGTCAAATGGTCTCCAAACTAGAGCAAAAACTTGTTGCTATTTGCTAGACTGTGAATTATATTAAGTTACAGCAAAAATAGAATCCATTAGCTTTTAGGAATACTTAACATATGAAAAAATACTTTTTACTGTTTTTCTGTGAAGTAAATACTTGTATTTGAAATTAGCTTATTAAGATAATTAAGTGTCAGTGAGACAGTACTGACTGGATTGAACTGCACACTGAGAAACTGCACAAGCAGTCCATGTGATTTTAGAATAGTTTGAATCAGGCAGTTGTAAAAGTCTTTCTGTGATGTAAATTACACTGATACATTGTGAATTTGTCAATTTATAAGTCTACATTGGTTTTTGAAAGCCGAATTACAGCTTCTGGCTGTTTGAAGTGTTCCTTTCATTTTTGCTTAGGGATGGGATGTTCTTTTATTTAAGGCCATGCTCCTCCACCAGTTGTCTTGTCAGTCATGTCTTCAGCCACATGTTTGAACCTTGTGGTCATTATCAGTAAATCTGAAAATGTTAAAGAAATTTCCTAGCTTAGTTGTTGTACTTACTTAGTGAAACCTGGTGGGTTGGAAGCTCATGTCTCACAGGATAGGGAAAGTCAGCAGGAGCCAGTCCTTCATAGTGTGTGGAGCAACAGGATGGGAGCGTGGCTGTTGTATTTCCTGGTGTGAAAAGGCACCTGACTGAAATAGTTGCCACTTGCACAACTTTTGGCTGGCCTGAGCACTGCTGCCTTTTGCATGAGAAGTGTGTCATTGGATATCCTGAGAGTGTGAGGCAAGTCTGGACTCTGTTTAGGGAGAAGTGAAGATTAAAGGAAAAATCTGTTAAGAAAAGAGTCTTTGCAAGTTCTGCTGATGACAGAGCAGTTTGGTTTAGCTTCGTTTCTGCTTTTTCTTCTTGCACACGACTGCTTCTCTCCTGGAAGGCAATGTACAGCTCTAGTCCTGAAACATGATTTAACCTGAAATATAGTGTAGTTTATGGTATTGTTACACAGCTGTATCATACAATCATGACAAGGTTTGCTTACCATTGATATCTATGCAGTATTGTGGTATCGTATCATTTAGGGTGTTTTGCGTTAGCCAACTATAAGGACCTTTTAAGTAGATAGAAGTTGTAGGCCATTAGCTACTCCTTTTGGTTACATGGAAAGACTTTCTTTTATGCTTACAGCTCTAAATTATAGCTAAAAGTAAATGGATAAATTAAACAACAGTAGGCACTGGGACTACCTAGAGAGCGAGTCCTGTGAGGAGCAGCTGAGGGAGCTGGGGTTGTTTAGCCTGGAGAAGAGAAGGCTCAGGTGTGACATTATCATTCTCTGCAGCTCCTTGTAAGGAGGGTGTAGCCAGGTGCAAGTTTGCCTCTTCTCACAGGTGACCAGCAACAGGACAAGAGAAAATTACATCAAGCTGCAGCAAGAAGAGGTTCAGGTTGGGCAATAGCAAGAATTTCTTAGTGGAAAGAGTGGTTAAGCATTGGAGTGGCTCTCCAGGAGTAGTGGAGTCCCAATCCCTGAAAGTGTTCAAGAAACAACTGGACCTGGCACTTGGTGCTGTGGTTTAGTTGACAGCATATTGTTAGTTAATGATCTTGGAGGTCTTTTCCAACTTCAGTGTTTCTGTGTACTGTAAAAATATTCTTGAAATAATTGTATTTACTTGTAGTAGGAAAACAATGGCGCTTAAAACTGTTTTGGCTCATACAAGTGTGCTGGTTTCTCTTAACTGCAGGAAACACAAGAATACACACGCAATGTTGTCAGATACTGCCTTGAAGCACTTCAAGACTGGTTTGATGCTATCAACTTTGTAGATGAGGTAAATATCCTTAGTGAATTTAAGCAAAGCACTGTGAAAATATGATTAAATATAAAAGGTGATGCACTCCCTACACCCAGCCCCCTCTCCTTAATTTAAGTAGCTATTCAAGCTAGTGATCAAAAAAGGATTGCCTTGCTGAAATTAGAGTTTGTAGTTAATACTTACAATGTTATGTCCTAGGACCATTTTTCTTCTGTAGTCTTGGTGATTTAGATTTGCTGGTGCAAGCTTAAGCTGTGAGTTTTAAAGGAGTGTTATGGATGCACTGCTATTGTGCTGTATGAAGAGCCGAATGAAGTAGGGGCAAAACAGAACTCTTCTGCTTTGGCAATTGGGGAGCAGCTTGACCACTTGGCAAGCAATGTTTAGTCAACTCAGAGTGCCATTAGCTTCTGGAGACACACTAACAGAGAAACTCCCTGAGATTTTGGAAACTTCTGAATAATCAGAAAGACAGGGGAATGAAGTACTGCTATGTTAGTGGAAAGTAAGTCTATCAAATGAAGGCATATAAGATACATTGGTGGTGTGCCAAAGATATTTGTATGTTTGTTTTTTTCAATATATTATATTAAATACCTTTATTTTACTTTCAGCCAGCACCTAACCAAGTTACTTTTCATTTGCCACTGCACCGTTACTTTGCCATGTTTTTAAGTAAGGTAAGCACATGTTGTAGTTTCACAGAAGATGGAAATTCCCTGTTGAATGTAATCATTCAACACATCATATGCTTGCTTTTGTTTCTAGGCTGTTAAATGCCAAGAACTAGATCTGGACACTATCCTGCCAGATCAGGAGATGCTGATGAAACTAATGATTCACCCACTTCAGATTCAGGTATGGGTAGACTTTTAACTTAACTATAGGAAGTATGTCTTAATTGTGGAATATAAAAATAAGCCGTATGTGACAATAATAACTACAATATACCAAGTAGTTAGGGTGACATCTTTTTTTTCCCTTCCTATTTCCAAAATTAAAAATGGGGCATTAGTTATCATACTCTGAGAAGGACATAATAATAGTATTCACTATAGCTCTTCGAATATGGTAGGATGGAGCAATCCTCTGAAAACATAGAATTGTAATGTGAACAGAATGGAGTGCAGGTTGACAAGAAACCCAGATCTGGAAGTTTTGTATTTTAAATTGAGAGTGAGTTCCAGAATGGATGCACAACATTTTATTTGCAAATTTGGACTTCCTTGTGCATAAGTGGCAGTAAGTAGTATTTCTAATCATTGCTTTTAGATCTAATCTCTTTTTAATTGTGATGTCTTAATTTTTGGTTCATTTTGGTACCACAATACCTCACTTTGCGTTAGTTTCAAGATTTTAAGGAATACCTACATGTATGAATCACATCATTTGTCTTTGATTACTTCTGTTGTCTGTAATATACTCTCATATGAAAGTATGGCATCTGTTTCATAAACTTGCAGTGGTTCTTTTTATCTCTTACTCTCCTGAAGTAAATTACTATAAAAAAGTCTATGAAGTTGTAATATGTATGCACGTATATGTGTAATGATAGTGAGTAAAATGATGAGAGGACTGGAGCACCTCTGACAGACTGAGAGAATTGGCGTCGTTCACCCTGGAGAAGAGAAGGCTCTTGGGAAACGTTAGAGTAGCCTTCTACAGGGGCCTACAAGAGAGCTGGGGGCAAACTTTTTAGTGGGGCCTGTTGTAACAGAACAAGGTTAGTGGGTTTAAAGTGAAGTAGGGTTGATTTAGATTACCTGTAGTACCTTTTTTTGCTAGGAGGGTGGTACAACACTGGAGTAGGTTGTCCATGGAAGTGGTAGATACCCCCATCCCTGGGAACATCCCAGGTTAGACTGGATGGGGCTCTAAACAACCTGACCTAGTTGAAGATACCTCTGATCATTGTAGGGGGGGTTGGACTAGATGACCTTTAAATGTCCCTTCCCACCCAAACTATTCTATGACTCTCCAAGAAAGCCCCAGAGGGACTTCTTACAATGACATGTAGTGACAGGACACGGGGCAATGGCTTTAAGCTGGAAGAGAGTACTTTAGATGAGATATCACAAAGACATTCTGTGCTGTGAAGGTGGTGAGACACTGGAACAGGTTGCCCAGAAAAGTCAAGGATTCCCCATCCTTGGAAGTTTTCAAGATCAGGGTGAACGGGTCTTTAAGCAACCTGGCTTTAAGCACCTGGAAAGTGTCCTTGCCCATGGCATAAAGGTTGGAAATCTTTAGGGGCCCTTCCAATTCAAACTGGTCTATGATTTCTATTTTTCTGTGATAATATACTGATGATCTGCTAACATTGAACTGAGTAGCTGAACATCCCTGAAATGTTTATAACTTTTTATGCTCCCTGCACAGGCCAGTCTTTCTGAAATTCACAGCAATATGTGGGTTAGAAATGGTCTACAAATTAAAGGACAGGCCATGACTTACGTGCAGTCTCATTTCTGCAATTCAATGATTGATCCTGACATTTATCTGCTGCAAGTAAGTTATGTTTTCCGAGAAGCCAAACCAATATTATTTACCTACAAACTATTGAATAGAATTAATTTAATGAAATTAATTTACTCTCTTTATACAGGTCTGTGCCTCTAGACTGGACCCAGATTATTTTATTTCATCTGTTTTTGAAAGGTAGGACTAAAAGATGAATGGTCTTGTTCAATATTGTGCTGGCTATTGTGCTAATTTATAGTGTGTAATAGAAAAATTGCATATCTGATACATATCTTCAGTGGTACAACCCTCCCTAGACAAAATTAACACCTAAGGACTCTGCTGAAAGAGGTATCTCTTGATTTTAAACAGCATTGGCTTTTGATTTACAGGGCAGTAGTGAAGATACATGTTTTCTGAACATCTTTAGGATATTTTAAGTTTCATATGTGTTCGTATGCTGGGATATTCTATCCGGAAGAAGTAGTAAGAGACACAGAATGTTTACTTTTTTGGAAAAAAAAATCAGGATTTGAACACCAATGATTATGCATTAGTTTTTATATGTTGATAAATAAAAGGTGTTTTCATGTGGCGTGAATATCACTATAGCACATTCCATCGATAGTTAAATAAAAATTGAAATTAAAAAAGATGAGGGTTTTCATGTATGTTTGTTTGTACTTTGGGTTTTCATTTGGGCTTTTGTATTTCATTTTAGGTTGTTGTGAGTGCTATCCTGAGTTTATCACTATGTCTCACATTGGTGTTTTAATGTTGGAGAATGCTTAATGGTTGTTTCTGACTTTCCTGTTTACTATGTAGATTTAAAGTGGTAGATCTGTTAACGATGGCTTCACAACATCAAAATACAGTTCTTGACTCAGAGCATGAAAGGTCCATGCTGGAAGGAGCCTTAACGTTTTTGGTCCTTTTGTTAAGTCTTCGTTTACATTTAGGTAAGAGTCACTACTTTAAGAATATCTATATGTAAATAACATTATTACACCTTCATTTATATTCAGCACTTAGTTGGTGCCTTAAAGCTGTTTAACTATATAATAACTTAAAGCATTCAATAGTCAGTTTCATCTTTACCAGTTACTGAATTTTAGTTTCATCTTTGAATTTCAGTTTCATCTTTGCCAATTACTGAATTTTAATCCCTTATGAAATAGAAATATATATAATACATAAAATGGAGAAAAATGGCTTTAATGGAAGTGGGTGATTTGTGTAGGTGATGACATGAAGATTCTGTATCTTTTCCAGAAAGACAGCAATCTGAGTTTATACTGGTATTTTCTGATTGAGATTGTGCCTTTCATAATATTTGCATACCCCCCTGTTTTTTTTCCCCCTGTATTTCTATGGCACTGCATCATACTTAATATTAATTTGTATCATGTTTGACATGCTTTTAATATCAAATGAAAACTGAATGTGTGTCTTAGAATTGTGCTGTTTTAACAGCTTTTTACATTTCATTGTTCTAGGAATGACAGATGATGAGATCCTCAGAGCGGAGATGGTAGCCCAACTGTGTATGAATGACAGGACACACAGTTCATTATTGGATCTCATATCCTTGGAATATGTGCGCTAATGAGCCTGAATGACACGTGTCTGGATAGTACTGAGACTTGAAAATGTTTTTATGTTACATAATTAAGAAAATTGTGTGAAGGTGTGTTTGTATATATTTACTCTATATATATATTTATACACACAGTATATACTGTATATGTACTATATACTTACTAGCAAAGGCTCCAATTTTGGTTTTTCTTACAATAAATACAATACTTTTTAATAGGTTAAATTAGTTTTGATACAAAATGCTGTACTGGTCTTTGGAAGTCTTTTAGGTATGAGGTAAAACATGTTTTCCAATGACATTGTAGAAAGTTTAGCAAATCATCACATTTGTGTGGATTTGAGCCTTTGATTTTTGGTAAGTTCATGCCAATATAAAAAGAGGGCAGTCTACATTACATTGACTTTTGCTATCAATAGCTGAAAGTGCAAATAATAGCAATCCTGCATGTTGCTTTGACAATAGAGTGAAGTGCATGTGCTGTGGGGAGAGAAGAGCAAACTGAGTCCTTTAGCACAGGCATAGGGTTCATGTCCCTGGACAGCTGACTATAAATATGCAGGTTTTCCTGCTGTCACTCTTGTGTGTAGGTAAAATTAAATAGCTTGTTGTGGTTGCATACAAAAGCTTGCAATCCAGGTATGGGCAATAAGCAAAAATATTAGGAATGTAAAGATAGGAAAGGATGAGATTGAGACTAACAAATGCATAATAAGAATTTTAATAATAATATGCTCTAGTAACTCAGTCAAGTATGTAAAATAAGTGATTACTTAGAACAATTCACTTAGGTGAATGACTTAATTATCTAAAATAAGTGAATAATTTATATAAGCAATCACTTATCACTGAGCAGAAGTTTTCTTATTTCTGGGTGCTGCTTGTGTTTTAGGGTAACGTTAATAGGTCAGTTAAGTATTGCTACCAAAAATGAGAACTGTGGAATCCAAGATTCAGAATTATTTATTGTGTTTATGGATCCTGAACTATTTGCTTTCTTTTTCTGCAATTGGATATAAATGCAAAATATTCTCCCTATGAAGACAGACAAAATGTTTGTAAGTAAAGACAATCATGAAAACTTTATATACGCTACCGGCAGTGGTTTCTATTTCTCATGAAGTACTAGCAGCTAGAGCCAAATATGTAGCAAGTCTTACTTTAAAAAGTTTAACCTCCTAGCTGGGAGGCTTAGATTCTCTTCATTAACAGTTACTGTTCCTAGCAGGTGGAGCATGCAGACCTCTTGTGGTAAGGACAGAGCACTGCTGCGATGTGGTCTGAAATGACTGATGGAAAATATCAAGAGGGGAGGGAAATTGTGTGTCCTGCAACTAAATTACTTTGCTTTCCTTAATGTAAGCATTACATTCCAGAAAACCCTAATCCTAAAAGTGGTATTATTCCAGGAAGCTTAAGCTTTGAATCAGTCCTGTCAGCAGTTGCTGACTTTAAAGCCCCTGTTTTTGAACCTGGAGGTTCCATGCAACAAGGAATGTACACACCTAAAGGTATGGTGATCAGTGTTCTCTTGCAATATAGTCATTGTTAAGATGTCTAACCAGGGTTTGTTTGGTTTTGTTGTAGTGGGCTTTTTTTCCTTAAAAAACCCAAAAAACAAACCCAACCTACCTGTGTTGAAAACTGCCCCCCATCCTCCCCACAAAAAAGCCAAACCTACCACAGCCACCAAAACCCCACAAAACTTGACTTTTTCATTATTGCCCATTGCTTATATTTAAGAGCATTGCTAAAGAAAATCAGTAGTCGTAAATAAATTGATTTTGATCTAGAATGAAAATGAGCTTATACTAATCAGGTACCTTCAGAAAGCAAAAGAAAATATATAAATGAAAAATTATCTTATTTGAATGTTATTGAACTGCATACTTTATTATTCCTATGATTTAAATAATTATGGTGTATATTTAGTAGAGTTTAGAGCTGTTTGCACTAGTGAAATGTCAAAGATACTTTCTTTGAACTTCTCCACCTTTTGACTATTAAAGATACCACGATACATAATTCTTCATTTTATGTTGCTTAATTATATTAGTATGCTGTAACATTTTTTGCTGTCAGTAGTGAGGGCCTAGAAAAAAGTTCAGACTAGACTTACTACAGAATATTGTTCTGTAATTCTACAATGCATACAGTGCAAAAATGACAAGTTTCTTTCCCTGACCAGCTTGTCATCTAAATTGGACTCAACATAGCATTGGTATATCAAAGGAGAGAAATAATTTAAGAACTCAGTGTTCCATTACTGTGTCATGTCACTAAGCAGATAAGCCTGTAGAAATCTGAAATGCTCCATGTGCTCTGGTTGTGCTTCAGGCTAATGGCAAAGCTGAAGAGAGATTAACTCCTTCCTCCCCCACATACCTCCCTTAAGAACTGGGAAGGTTAGAGCCTGGTGATTTTGAAACCATTTGGTTTCATGGGTTTTTTTGGGGGGAGTGATGGTTAATGTAGGTACTAGTATTGTAATAACTTGTAATTGTTTGCCAGTTTTTGTACTGGGAGATTGAAGTGTCAATAATGCTTTTTTATACAAATTAACAACTAATGAAATAATTTTGTGAAACCAGAGTTTGGGAAATTGATTCATCTTGGTTCTTTGATGTGTAATTAGGCAGCTTAACACCCATGTATCTAAAATAACTTAATTTTAGGGTTACATAAACTACATTTCCTTATGTCCTGTCTGGTTTCTGGAGCTCTTTACATGCTGGTCATTTTCATAACACAACGTGAAGGAAAAAGAGATGGATTATGCTGTTTTTAATTACAGCACTTCATATTTAGGGAATCAAAGGCTAGATTACAGTGTTTGGAGTTTTTTGTATATAGTTTGGTTGGGTTTTTTCTTTAACTTAGGTAAACTATTTATTCCAGAGGTAAACTGTCTTAAGTATCTCCCCTATAGCATTGAATAATGAAGTGATTTATGACACTATACAGATTCCCTTTTTCTTAAAGTAATAAAAGCTGAAAAATCTTCTGCAGGAATAAAAGCTGGCATGGCTTTCTTTACCCTCTTAAGTGTTCATATTCCCTGTAAGTTTATATAGGTTCTCAAACCCTTTGCTTTTAAGAATTATAGTTTGTGGTCTGTCATAGTTAAAGCAAGTCATGATGAGATCAATTCCCTCTAATCCTCTAATCTCTTGTTTCCCTAAATTTGAGGGGGTGGAATCTACTTGATGTTCACAGATCCTTAGATTTTGCTTCCATTAACCATCATTTAAAAAAACAAAACCAACCCAAACCAACTTCCAGAGCCAGGCTCTTTCTACACACTGTAGATTTGTGTGCTGAAGATGAGCTGTATGTGCATTTCCGATATTCACTGTATGGCTCACTCAGTCCTTTTTTCTCATTAAGCATTAGCAGCCCAAACAAGCTTGGTGTGTGTTTCAGACTGCAATACTAAATTCTGTTCAGAAAAAATGTGGATTTCCTTCACAAGCTAAATTTGATTGTATTTAATACATAATGGCAACTTTGCTAGGTGTTCTCCCTCAGCAGTCTATGAGGATATGTGTAGAACTGTTAGCCTTAGCAGGGGTTAATATATAGAGATGACTAGGTGTGAGTATAGGCACTTGTCTTCCTGCCTGGGGAAAATTATTCTCAGAGGTGTGGTAAAGCTGCTTATTTCTTCCTGTGGAAGCTTGGAAGAATGTTGTAAGCACTTGTTTTACGTTACACCTGCTGGTGGAGCTAAAATTCTGTATCCGCTGGGTTTCTTCCTCGTTTCGGGGTCATTGAATCTTGCCTTCATTTTTTTGTGTTATGGGAGCTAAACACTTCAAAACAATTCATAGAATTAATGTCTTCATTTGGCTTTAGATTGAAACTTAGTTTTGTTTTTTAATTAACTTGTAAATAGGAAAAAAAAGGCTATCAAATGGGATATTTTTATAGACTGTTTAGACTTTTCTGTTTCTGATTGCTCTGAACAGCCACTCTGGATGTTACTTTAGAGCTACTAAATTAAATGGATGTAATTAAGATTTTAATGCTGAAATAATGCATAATAATAGTTATAAAACAAAGCTTGACCATTTTTGATACTGAATAAGAAATTGTGTTGTTGCAGCAGTTTTGTTCACTACACTTGATGGTAAAATATCATCCACCTGCTAACAGCTCCACAGCCTTTACTTCCTACTTTGAAGAGGCTTGTGCTTACCATGTATGAAGTGCAAAATAATATAAGCCTTTCTCACATGTACTTGGAAATGAGAAAGAGCAAAACAAGATGCATACAGAAATGATATTTTGGGGATTGCTTAATAGAGTGTTACTTTTTTATTTTTGAAACCAATCAAAATTTTGCAAAAAAAATTTTTTCTAGTTTGATAAAGAATGGTAATTATTACTATAGAAAGTATTATTAGTAAGAATTATTATAAATTGCTGTAGTTTGACAGGAAAAATTCTATAATAGAATTGACATAATTAAAGCTAGTTAAGGAAAGAATCTAGAATAAGTGGTAAGGTCTTAAAAGAGAATGTTAACATGTAATTTCTTTTAAACAACAGCTGAAGTTTGGGATAAGGAATTTGACCCTGTCATGGTAATACTTCGAACAGTTTACCGCAGAGATGTGCAGTCTGCAATGGACAGATACACTGCATTGTAAGTTGGATCATTTTTAGAAATGCAACATCATGCTCTTGCTCATTCCACAACAATTTTTTTGTTTTCACTGCCTGGTAATGCTAATCACTTTATCAGTGTTTTCAAGCCCCAGATTTGTTCTTGAGTAAATAGTCTATAAAATTACATGCAGTATCAGAGTTTTGGTTGTCTTAGTCTGTTACTCTTCCATAAATGTTTAAAAATACACCAGAAGGGCTGCAGACAAAGTAGTGAATGTCATCACAGATAAAATATTTAACCAAATATATTGTTTAAAAATCATTTACAACTTATTTGAAGTAGTCTTATCTATTTTTATTTAGTTTACTCTTCGGTACACAAAGCAAAGTTTATCTATAGCAATGGCAGGTTTCTACATTATTGCAGTGTTTAACAGTGATTTCAACATTTAACATTTGTTTCAACAGCTTAAAGCAGAGTGGCAAATTCCCTGGAAACCCATGGCCTCCTTACAAGAAGAGAACACCACTACACCCAAGTTACAGAGGTCTCATAAAGCTTTTGCACTGTAAAACTCTGCACATTGTGCTCTTCACACTTCTTTACAAGGTACAGTCATAATTTGCATTAAATGCATTGGTTCACTTCCACATTTTTACAGAAGTTCTTAGAAGCATGATTTTTTTAAAGTTTACTTGGAGTAATCAGGTTCCATTTTATATAATATTTTTGGTTTTGCTTTTGTTTTATTTTTCAAGTCTAGTACATGCTTTTTCCTACCACTTTGGTTATTTCATAAATGATTGTTTCATATACACATACACTAAGTCAGTACCCAAGTGGCTGAAAGATCCTGTTCTACTTTGAGGAACTGTATTAACCATCAGAGTTGCCATTCAGATTGTTCTTCCATGATGGTTTCAGGGAGCACAGTGGTGAGAATGATGTTCCTCTGGCTCCTGTTGCAGAATTTTAAGGCATCAGCAGTGACTGTTAAAAAATACACAACTCTAATGGCTTTAAATCTTCAGTGTCAAATAAGTCTCATAACTGCAGTTGTTTCTAGCATCATTTCCCAAATACATTCTGGCTCTTGGTAATGTTATAACAACTGTTTTTCAGGGTTAATTGGTGCCTTTAAGTTATGTTTGGTTTTATTTTTGATAGTTTGCTGCTGTCTTCAAGAGAAGCACATCCTTTTTGAAGAGTCCATTCATCAGAAAATGGACTTTGAGTCTGTACTTAGAAAGTGTTTTCAAAGCAGTGTGCTGCAGGGGCAGATGAGGAACTATAAAAATTGCTTTGAGTAGCTTTTTTCCTGGGCAGACTTTTCCTTTTGTGCTCTTCTAAGGGCTCCCATCTTACCTAAAACTCATATTCTGTTTCACTGTTAAATTTCTATTGAATAGAAAATATCTGTTGTACTACAGGAAGGCTGGTGAAGGAAGGGAGAGCTTGGGACTACAGAGAAGATCAAATAATGTTTTGACACGGAGCAGAAATGGAGACTCTAGGGAAGGAATGCATCATTTTTTACTGTCTTGCTTGGGTGTCTTTGGCCACTTTTTCTCTTAATCCATTAAGAACCTTCAAGGGCTTAAATCTTGAGAATCGTAGCCATTACTGGGTTGCTGTTTTAGCTGGAATACTGAATACTTTCCCACTGGATTTATGGATGGTGGAAAATACAGTGGTTGATTTTTTAGGTTGGCTTAAATAATGCCCACTCTCTTTGTGAAATTTTGCCAATTCATGACAGCCTTTATTATATCTCTTGGCTTTTGGGACTTCCTGTGGAAGAGCAGTAAACTATATTTGGTGATGTTACTTTTCAGAAGTGTTGGTCAATATGACTTTTGATTCCAGCTGCTACAATTACACGTGCTCTTTGTATTAACGGAATACTGAGTCCTCTTTTTAATTAAATAACCTCTATCATCTCAGATTTGTTGATTAAATCAGCTCCTCAGTCACTTCTTAGAAAAACTATTGTAAAACAATATTATTTTTAAGAACTTTGTCTCTCTGATATTTCTAATGGCTTTTTCTACTTAGAAAATTCATCCATTCAAAACATAGTCATATTTAAAACTTTACTAGGCTACACTCTAAAAACATTAATTTGTGTAGTAGCCTTCTACAATGAAATTTTAAATGTATTTTCTCACCCACTTGGTAACTTGCATTTTTTTGCCATTTTCTTTCCTTTAGTTCAGAGTATTCTCAAGAGGATAGTTGTCCTGGTTTTTAATTTTAGCAGTACTGGTTCTTCCTCTCAATGCATTGAAAGTTGTTTTAGAAGAAAGATATGGGCATTTATTAATTTAAAGATAAGGTTATTTATTATTTGTAACTAAAAAAGATTATGTGAAGGTGGTTATGAACTAAATTGGTGTTAACCTTTGTGGTAGTCCCAGTTAACCAGCATCACTGATGGGACTAGGACCTCGTGAGGCCTTTGGTGATTGATCACTTGAAAAGGGGAGGGAAGGCTGAGAGCAGCTTTTTGCATGTAATTGGCAGCAGTGGTGTCTGTGCAGCTGTACCTGTCACTCTGGTGTTGAAGTAAATTGCAGCTTGAACTAGTAATAGCTTTAAGGTACAAATTTGTTTGACTGGAAAGACATAAAATCAAATTTTGCTTTTGTGGTGATGATCAAAGGTTAGGTTTTTTCTAAATCTCAAAATAATTTTAAATCAAATTTTAAACAAACAAAAGAAAAAATCCACAAGAACTGAAGAGTCCAAAATGTATTATCCAAAACACCTTTTCTTAAGTTTAGATGTACTGAAGCCTTAATCTTCTATGATGTGTCTCTTTTCCTACCTAGATATTAATGGATCATCAGAACTTATCAGAGCATGTGCTTTGCATGGTTTTATATTTGATTGAGCTGGGGTTGGAAAATTCTCCTGAACAAGAATCAGATGAAGAGGTATGAATAAATGCCGTAATTTTCTTAAAAATACAAATGTATTTTTTAATGACTCAGTATTGTTTAAAATTAGTTTTTACCATAGTAGTTAGAATAAAGCATCTTTATTAACTTATATGGGGAACAACTAATAAAAACATACTGTTGTGAGGAAGACTATGGTATCTTGTTGTGTTTTTCAGCAGTTTCTGTATATGTCTGAGAGCACAGATTGATTAGATCTTTACCACTGTGTAAGTTACTACTAGAAACTGTGCAAAAAAAATTAAATCATTGAGGCTAAAAATCTCTAAATTTTCACCTGAAACCCTTATAACTGAACATTTTATTGCTACAATAAAATGTACAGATCTGTATCTTCAAAAATCTGTGAATAAGTCAGAATTTTAATTCTACTTTTAATGATATTTAAATATAAAGAGCCATTATTTTTGTGATTCCAGATTCCCTTCTATTACCATAGTTTTTTATCTGATCAGCACTGCTTTTTGACTTAAGAATTTGCCACATTTTTTTCCAGAGATTGTCTTCTGTATAGTTCTGATTTTTTATATTAATCTTTGATTGTACAGCTTAGGATTCCTCTCTAGAGTTCCTTTTACTTCTGCCAGCTAGCACCAATGGCTGCATTTGATTGTATTCAAATAAAATACTTAGACCTATGTATTTATCATCCCTGTGATCCTCATGGGACTCACATCAGTTTACAAAATTTTTAAAAGGTATATTAGCTTTGTTGAGGTACATAATGTTCAACATGTTGTTCCTATCTCACGGAGATATTGTGGCCTCTGTAATACAGCTACAAAAGCAGTACCAGTTATTTAGTATGAGAAATTTAATAAGAGAAAGTATATCACAATTTTCTTAATGGTTTTAGGAATCTGCAGGTGGACAAGAGCGTTGCCATGATAGTTGGTTTCCAGGTAGTAATTTGGTTTCTAACATGCGTCACTTCATTAACTATGTCCGAGTGAGAGTACCAGAAACTGCTCCTGAGGTGAAGAGAGAACCACCTGCAAGTACAAGTTCTGATGGTTTAGCTTCATCACAAGTAAGTAGATACAATACCAGATTCTCTAGGTTAGTTTAAGTCATTGCCTATGTTGGCATTTTTGTTAGTTTTTTTACTGTTTTTATTAATTCCTTAGGATGTTTTTTCCTTCAGTTATTTTTCCTATATCTACTGATAGCAGAAATAGAAGTTATTTCCAATGATGCCTCCTTCGAAATGATGTATTTAATGACTTTTTTTGTCCTCAATCTACCAGAGTTCAAGGCGGAAGAGCCTCCAGAGAGAGGTAGATCTGTGTGCAGTTTGTTCTCCTAAGCGATTAACTAGCAACATGCTTTAATTGTGCTCACCTTAACGTTCAGTGGAACCTTCTAATTTTCCTAAATTTCCTTTTAATTAATATTGCAAGGGCTCGTGCTTTTTTCATGTTCTCGATGGTAATTTTAGGTGGTAGACTTTGAAGCAATAAAACGCCTTTACATTTTTAATATGTATTTGGAAATAAAAGCTTCCTATCAAATATAAAATGCCATTGATACTGGCTGCTTGAGCTTTGTGTTTAGGCCTGTTTGATCTTGCCAAGATACTACTAACATTAAATAATGTAGAATAGTCTTAGCTTTCTTGAGTCTAGGTAAGTTTAACCTTATATTGAAAGTGTTTTTGAAATGATTAATAGCAATTTGTTGTTGCGGTTGTGAAAACAAAGGAATATGTAAATGGTGGGATCCTGAAAGATTTATAGGCAGTAGATGATACAATCTCTGTGTCAGTGTTGCTTTTGTATTTATTGTATGCAGCACTTCAGATTACTGTGTGCCAGATGTAGCAAAATACAGTGGATAGTTCTTTTGCATGTTCATGTCAGAAAAATAGACAAAATCTAAAGTAGGGAGATGGCATGAAATAGATTAGAACATAAAGAAGGTAGGTGAGATGATAGTCAAAATTCCATTTTTATATTTGATATCTCTTAATTGCCCAGCCTTCTGAGGAGGAGAGGGTAAGATGTTAGTGTGCTGAATTTCATGTTCAAAACCTTGAAGAAATACCTTTCTGGAGTGGATTTGGTATATGTATCCTTAATTTGATACTGCAAGCAAGAGTAGTGTAAGATAGATCTAAATGGGCTCTGTCATTAATGTAACTGCATTCATGCTCACATGCCCTGGATAGCAAGTTCTGCTGGCAAACAGGGGTGTGTGGCTTCTGGATCTTACCTAATAAATCCAGATAAAATGCACAGTGTTCATGGGATGTGTGGGCTCACCCGTATTCACCTGTGTGATCTAATGAGTTACATTGTGCAACAGTGCTCAGGCATTTAAATGATATAAAGATACTGAAATTATAACTATTCTAGAAAAACCAAGGAAATATTACCCGGATAACACAATTGTTAAGTTAGACTAGAGTAAAATCAGTTGTTAGTGTTTCAGTATGGATTTTCCTTTGATACTTGGCTTTTTATGCAGTTGTATATAACAGACTCTTACAAAAATACTATATGCAGGTTTAGAATTTTGCTATCCTAATTTTCAATAGATTTTGGGAGTGGAGAAGAATCTTTTAAGTTTCATGGTTTTCTTTCTAGCTTCAAATATTTTCTGTAGTTTTAGAAATGTGTGTTGTTTAAATTTGTATTTTTGCAAATTAATAATGTAATTTTTTCCCCAAGAACTCAGGGACAGCTCAAGTGTTCAGTTTGGTCGCAGAACGGAGAAAGAAATTTCAGGAGATCATCAATCGGAACACCAGCGAGGCAAATCAGGTGGTTCGGCCCAAAACATCAATGAAATGGTCAGCACCTGGTGCAACTCCACAGTTAACCACAGCCATTCTAGAAGTCAAGGAAAGCATACTGTCTTTGCTGATTAAATTGCATCACAAACTCTCAGGAAAACAAAACTCTTACTATCCCCCATGGCTGGATGATGTGGATGTTTTAATCCACCCGGAAATTCCGAGATACGCTCACGGAGATGGAATGACAGCAGTAGAAAGAATTTTACTGAAAGCTGCTGTACAGAGCAGATTGAATAAACGTATAATTGAAGAGATATGCAGGAAGGTGACGCCTCCTGTACCACCAAAAAAGATTAGTTCTGCAGAGAAGAAAACCTTGGATAAAGAAGAAAGGTAACCATAATAACAAGACAAAGGAGCAGTAGAAGGACAGTGTGTGTTGTGCATCTATTGATTGATCTTTAGGGTTTTGTATGAATTACATAATAAAAGAATAAGTCTTAATTCTACAGTTCTCTTTATCTGATTTGAATATCCATGATTTACATGGGTAATGAGGAAGAATCTGTACTTTGCTATTTTAAATCTTTAAAATAGAAAATTTTAATAATTATTTTAAGTGGTATACATGCTCACACTTCGTTTTATAAAACTCATACATACAAAGATGTAGAATTAAGATTGTGTTAGCTTTTGTGGCTTAACCTGAAGACTTTTTTAGAGAAAATCTCAGTGGGGAAGAATGAGGTCTTGAGAGTTGGTAGGAGAAGGAGAATGTCTGGAGGCTATGAGAGACAGAGATTGACATTTGGGGGATGGCAGACTCAGCTGCAAAGAAGAGATGGCTGGAGTGGGAAGAGACTGACACTTGGCTGGTGCAAAAGGCTGGAACATGGGATTTGAAGGGAGTGGACAGTGCATAGTGTTAGAAGGTTAGAGTATACAAAGTAGGGAATTCAGGTCAGAGTACTTACCACAGTAGTTGAAGTAGAGAGCACAGACTGGAGTGGACAAGAAGACAATTGAGTACTTGTTCATCCTGTATTTTGAAGGGTTTCTGTAACCAGAATATGTAGCTACGGTTCTAGAAATTTGAGTAGAAAAGTGCAGTCCTCTCACTCAGTTGGTTTCTGGATTACTTTATTTTCAAACCAATAAAATAGCAGAAAAATAAAGATTACTTTTATTTTTCTGCTATTTTATTGGTTTGAAAATAAATTTTTCATTAAAATCTCTCCAAGGCCTACACTGTACTGGAAAATAACACATAAGAATATGGCAAATAGATTTAACATATTTGTATGTTATGTACTTTACAAAGTAAAATTATTTTTGTCTTGCTAGTGTTTATTTAATAGTTTAATTTTCAGCATTGCTTGTAATAGAGAGAAATAGTCAAGGTTTAGCATGTAAAATTGCTAATCAGAAAGAGCCAGAATGAACAGCTGCTTTAGATAAAAGACAGCTATGTCTTGGGTACTTAATCATGAATGTGGAACTCAATAGTGCTAGATTTATGTACAGGGGAAGCAGGGGCATGGATGAAACAAGTAACTTTTCATGTTGTAAAGGGTAAGGTTATTCAGTTCCCTCTATAAAAGGATGTGATATTTTCAAGGATCTGTGGAAGGCCCACTAAGTTTTCAGTTAAGTTTGGTGGCTAAAGCAATGACAAAAATGAATGTTTCCCATTTTTTGTTGTTCTGAGTGATTATTATCTTCTTCTCAAATTTATAATGGTATCGGTCGACCCATGAAGTTTATTGAAGGACAGTATGATAACTGAAATGACTAAACCCATAGAGTGACAATGTTCATAAAGCCAGACTGCAATTTTTACTGTTTCAATTGTTTTAATTTTCCCCCCAATTCCAGTTTTGTGTCAGTGAAGACTGAGCAGACTGTGAACGTTAAGTAATCACCTTTTTTAGCTTCAACATATAATGGCATCACTCAGGCAATGGATTGTTGCCATAGAAACTGAGATACAGGACTAGAAGCAAGCTTAGCTGCTTGCAGTATTTTTTCAATTGCAGTGTCATATTCCCATGGGCCATCATGGAAAATTACTGAGCTGTACTGAATCTGTCAGAGTTTGTTTATGTCTTCGTATTAAATGCATCTATTTACAGTCACTCTGCTCTTAGTTGAGGTGTTGAGAAATTTCCAGGGAGAAATAAATAAAATCAAGTCTAATGAATGCTCTGGTCTGATCCTCAGAATAATGAATCTTAGTGATGTAAATAGAAGTTATTTTGAGAAATGGTGACTATAAAATGTAGCAGACAAAGGGCAGAGATATTTGGGTCTTTCAGGTGCCTTTAAGAAAACAAATCAGAAGCTTTGACTTACCTCAGGATGACAGGTTGCGCTATGTGAGCTGCTTTGGGCCTGTGCATGCCAGTTCCTGTGCCAGGACACTGATAATCACACAGTGCTTGAGACTTTGGAGGACTCCCCCATCATGGAATCAGACACCAAGTGATGTTTTTAAAGCCCATGTTAGTTATCTGGATCATCTCTGAGCAGTGGAAAAAATGCATTGTAAATGCTGATGCACAGAATTTGTAGCTATGATAGAACTTCTGTAGCTGCACTGGGGAGGTGCTTTGTAAAGCCCCTCAGTTGAGGACATTTTCTGTGTGCTGAGCAGCTGTGGTACAGGGCTTTTGTTTGGTTTTCTCACTTCCACTCTCCCATTTCCTCTGTTTATAAACTCATGTCAAAGTAAGAAAAATGAATGTTTATTTTCTTTATCATTTTTCACCCATCAATATTCCTCTACCCACTGCAGTATATATTTATATAGGGAGTTATAAAACTGGTCATACAGCTTTGTACAGGTCACTGAAACAGTTTAAATAGATGGATAGACAAGAGTAAGTCTCTGGTGTTTTCCATTTATAAATCCAGAGCTGTGACAAACAATGAGGGAAAGTTAGTGAGGTCAGCTTGGCCTCAGGGAGATAAGGGCTTTACTCTGGATGCAATCTCATGGTGCTTTAAATCCCACAATAAAAGCTGTTGGTGGCCAGTATTTTGGGTGGAAGTGGAGGAGAAGGAACCACTGTGAGGAGGCTTAGCTGGAAAATAAATTATTCATAATTGTTTCCCATGCCATCAAGCTTGATATCAAGCAGGAGTGAAGTAGACTTTTATTATTATTGTTATTAACTTGCAAAAGTTGATTTCTCACAGAAGTACTCGTTTTTGTACAAATGACATTGCTCTCTGGTTTTCTTCTCATGTGTAACAGATAAAAAAGTTTCAAGATTAAGGTATTGAGTTCTTTTTCTTGCGATGTTATGGCCTAATCTGTTAAAAGATCTTGTGGTGAACACCTTTGAAGGGTGTTTAAGGACAGGATTTTATTCTGTCTTTTCAGACTCAAAAGAAAGTAGCATTTAATTTCTTAAAATCTCTGCTTCAGAAAAGCAAAAGACTCCTTTTTTAGGCTTGGTAACCATTCCTTTACATCAACCTTAATTTGGAATTATACTGTTTTAAGGTGGTAATTGTAATCAGCTTGACATTTCAAGGGTTTTTTTGCTCCATTATGTAAGTTTATTTTTTCTTCTTCCCCCTTCTTTCACATAGACGACAGAAGGCTAGAGAAAGGCAGCAGAAACTGTTGGCTGAATTTGCCTCGAGGCAGAAAAGCTTCATGGAAACTGCCATGGATGTTGGTAAGTTTTTGTGTGGTTGTCTGCTTGTTTTTATGTCTTTTCCCACATGTTAATATTAAGGTTTCTACTCAGTTTAAAAAACGAAGACACACACAAAAAAACCCCAACCATCTAACCAAAGAGGAAACTCTCCCATCAGATTCTACTTTTGTATCCACTTGTTAACTTTACACTTCTTAGGGAGCTTAACTTTGTTTATAGGACAGATATTACTGAATACATAATTGCTAAAGAATAGATTAAATCTGTAGGACATAAATTTATTCCTAGTCTTTGTTAATATACAGTACATTAAATGATTAAATGTGTGATATGTTTTAAAGTATTTACCTTTAATATAAAATTGTCCCCAAATTAGCTTTTAAGATTGTATTTTTCTTTAATCTGTAATAATAAAATTTAAGATTATTTCTTCATAGAGCCTCAAAGATTAATATGGTGAAAAATTGAGCTTTTAAATGTGTTTATGGATCTAAGGAAAACATAATTTTTAGATCACCTGAGTTGCTATAAGTGATAACATATTCTACTTCAAATACTGTCTTTACACACAATCAGGCCTTGTTTTTCTTGAGGGTGAGTTCTTTCAGATTCTCCTGTGTAGAAGTGCATAATCCTGATTAGTTTCTGTTCAGGTGAGGAATGGAAAATATTTTTGTCATTTGGGTCACTTCATAGAAAATGATCATTTCTGAAAGATAAGAAAAAGCTGGAATCTTCTCCCACCTTCCATCAAGCATCATCTACTGTGAAGTTTTCATTTGAGTTTAAGCATTGGTTAGAAACACTTTGACAAGTGTATTTGCTGAAAACGTCTGTCTTTTGAAACTGTTAAATTCCCTTTAGTTCCTAGGTTGCTGAGAAGATGTATTCATTTATATTTATAAAGGTTTTGGATACCTTAGCAATCTTGAATGGGGCTCTGAGCAACCTGCTCTAGTGGAAGATGTCCCTGCCTACAGCAGGAGGGTTGGAATTTTATGATCTTTAAGATCCTGTCCAACCAGACTTGCTAAGATTCCATGAAATTAATCACTCTATATATGATGTTGTGTGGATGGTGTGCAATACTCTAATTTTCATCTGTGAACTTTCTATTGTAAATCAACCTCACTAAATGGCAGCTATTTGTTGAAGTAAGGAAGAAGGTAAGAAGAACCTTGCAGTTCTCCTTATTAAAATTCAAGTTTTTATATGGTCATGGCTAATTGAAAGTAACTGGGAAACTTCTATTCTTCAGTCACTTATATTTTGAATTTTTCATATTGCAACTTTGAAATTGATGGGGTTTATATATGAAATCAGATATATGTCTAGATCTAGATCTATATATATATATGTGCATGTAGATGTACCTGTCAATGGCTATATAGCTATATTTGCACATATACATAAATGTGCATAAATACTTGCATGCATAGATTTTATAAGCTATGTTTTAAGATAACTGCTTTGATTTGTGGATGAATCATGGTAGCTAAATCATTAAGTTACACAGCATTTATTTTTGTGTAGGACTGTGAATACTTAGCTTTTAGTTAATTCATATTAAATTCTCGGGTAGGCAGACCTGGGCCTTTATTTTTATGATTGTGCGTTAAAAAGTTCTTGGGCGTGCAACATTTAAATCACTTGCTTCTTGGTATTTAAAGAATTAGTAACTTCAGATGCCTCAATGTCAAATGCAGTGTTTATTGTCACTTACACCAGATCATGCACAGCATTAGATAGAATCAATTTAATAAACTACATTTTCGTAAAGTTAATTCTTCATAAAGACATTTGGCAAAAACTTAATAGAATTCTAGGCATAGTGTTAACTAATGATTACTTTGCCTTTTCACTAACTGTTTTCAGTGTCTTCTACGTTGTCATTCCATTTTCTGGCTTGTTATGAAAATACACTGAAGTAATACTATAGTCCAGTACTAGCTTTTATGTTCTGACTGGCATTAAAACAGCTCTCAGAAAGTAAGTTCATATACCATTAGAGTGCACTGGGTTTGTTTAAAAATCTAGATTCATTTTTGCCAGGAATATTCTCTTCAGTTTGTTGAATCTAAGTGGTTTGTTTAGCTGTGAATTCAATCTCTATATGATACAGAAAATTAGTGAAAATGTTGCAGAAACTATTGTTACTCTAATTTTAAAGCACAAAACACAGTAAGAATTTTGAAACTAGTCTTTCTTGAGTGATTCAATTTAAAACTACTCTTATGTAATTCATAGGTTTACCCTGAATCATAGCATAACAGTACTGAAATAGCTGCTTGAAAGTTAAAAAATCCTTTTGTACTAAGATCAGTAGGAATTCACTCCCCTCTTACACAAAGTCTCTTAGCTGTTACTTTTCTTATATATTGAAGCCCAGCAGTAGGTTTATTTCTTAATTTTGTTCACTTGTTGTAACAGTAATACTCTCAAAAATGCAGGGGTGGTGAGGCCTTAGCTCCCTTGTTCTGTGACTGTTTCAGTTGTTGTCATTTGGGCAATTTTATATTATTATCACTGGTAAAATGTGAGAACTGTTGTAATTGGTTTGGGGTATAGCACTTAAAAACTACATAATACCTTTCTATTGACAGTGCAGAAGATTGGAAATACTCAGAAAACAAATGTGCCTAGGAAGAGATAGGAATAATGGAGAATAGCCAAAGCTTAAAGGTTATTTTATTATAAACCCATATAACTCTTAGTTTATAAAGTGTTTAATAAAGTGCACAGAGGCACTGTTAATCCCCTGAGGTATTCCTCTTTGATTGTTGGGATGCTGCAATGAAACATGGCTTAAAAGGAAGTTACCTAATTACGTGTTAATTATTCAATATTAAATGTGTCTCATTTTACTGGCAGAATTTATTTATTTGAATTGGCATACACAAATTCATCTGAGATTCTGAAAATAAAGGTTGGCATTTTCTTTCACATAGTTACAGTAGAAAAAAATTCCAATTATGTAGCACTTTCCATTTGTGCCCCCTGTTACTTTCTATTTATATTCTGTGACATCTGCAGAACTGCATTGCCATTCAAGCTTGCCTGGAAGTAATTAGGTGAAATTTAGAAACAGTTATGTTAATGAACTAGGCTAGAACAGCATCCACTGTGCTGTTTTTAGCTGTTTGACTGCAGGATAAACAAAAAAAGGAGAAAATAAACCAAGAAAAGTGTTTTAAGAACAGCAGACAGAGCTCTTAATGTGTCTGAGGGACTGTCCAGAGAGTCAAAAATGTGGTGTTGGTTTCAGCTCCCGAGGTCTTCCTGCTCCTGGTTATAGCTCCTGGTTACAGCTCCTCTGAGCTGTTCACAAGCACTGCCCCAGAGTGAGACCATGGTTTATCTTGTGATGTGGAACTCTGTGCAAGAACTTCGTAACCTTCAGAAGGGACTTGATAAGAACAAAATTAAACCACTCAGTTCTAGGTTAGTAGTAGTCTTTAACAAATTACAGTTATATTTGTAAAGCTCTGTCTGTCTGAATTTTATAAAAACATAATATGATCTGTTCCAGGCAAGCTGCTGAACTACTTATCGTAATTGGTAAATGAAAATTGGTAAATTGGTTAGGTTTTTAATTATAAATGCTAAGATTAATTTCTTCAATAGTTTTCTATCACATCTCTGAAGTGGCTGGTGTAATTTTTAAACTTTTGTAATGCATCCTCATAAGTATGCAGGTGATCTTTTATATCTTTCTTACAATGTGTGTCTTAGCAGGATGCCATTTTGTCCTTCACGAAACATTCCTTAGTTAGACTTAAAAAGAAGCGCAGAGTCTTAATGCAAGGTGACATATATTTCCTAACACTCAATCTTCTGAACCCAGATAGAAAAATAAATTAGGTACTGATCTCTTGAGAATGTATATGCTGGGTCAGGGCAAAGAATATTAGCATACTAATAGTTGCTTTGATACCAAGGGGCCTCTTTGACACAATGTGTGCAGCAGGACAAATGTTGACTACAGTCAGTGGAGATTGTGAACTATATTGGCTGTGCTTACAAAGCCCTTTTGGTTTGGGGGCTTTGCTGGGTAGAGGAAATAACAGAATGTATCATTAGCTCTGGAGAGTAGAAATGAAATTAAGTTCAGGTAGCAATGCATTCTGCAGTACATCAGTGTGCTAGTTTTGAGCAGATTGATCAGTAATTTGTTAGGAGGTAGGAACTGCTAGGTTTTTGTAATTTTGTGTCTCTACTTCTATTGGTACAAAACTAACCAAAGAGCTAAATATTTAACTTTTGAAAAACTCCTGGGAGCTACAAGGTTTGGCTCTTCTCTGGATTTCTGTCACAGTTTAAATTTGTCCATCCTCATTCAGTATTTTAAGGTTCATATTTATTCAGATTTTTGAAATAATTCCCAAGGACAAAGAAAAATTCCAGAACCCACTGAAAGGAGATGAGACAAATCTCATGACAGAAACTTGGTGAACTGATAGCAGTACCATATGTCTTACCTTGTATTTTTCACTGGCTCCTTCTTTACACACTGCCATCGTTAGGACAAGTCTGTGAAACCAATTAGGTTAAATCCTTGGAGCTAGTTTGAGTAATTGAGGTTTATCAGAGTCCATTCAAAAGAAGAGAGGGGTTTTGTTTGGTTACAGTTTTTCTGGTATGCCTACTTATTTGAGATTTTAATTTCTTGCCAATATCCCTTTGTTTTCTTTTACTAGCTCAGGTGCAAATTACTTTATTAGGAAACCTTCCTTGGTGCTAGTAGCTTACTTTCCTTGAAAATTTATTGTTTGCCAGAATAGCCTAGCTACATCCACATCTAAGTAGTTGTGAAGGAAGCATGCACTTTATCATTGAGTTCTAAAATTAAATTAACCTGATTTTTATGTCCCTGTTCCCCGTAGGCAATAAAAATATAAATTGCATGTATTGAACTGATTTTAAACACCTTTTAAATCCTAAGTTCTGGGTTTTTTTCATTCAAGTTAAAACATAGGCAATTTGTGATGAATTAATGGTATTTTGTAAATTAAATATTGACAGATTTTTGATTACTTCCATTGAATTGCTCTAAATCAGATTGATACATTGTATTCTCTTTCTACACTTCTGAAAAATACTGAATGGTTGCATATTTTCTGTTGTATTGACAGTATTTTAGAAAAGGAGGGAAAAGCGAACTGAAACTCTAGTGCTTGTCATTTCTTGCATTTGATACAAAGGTGTACATGATCATACATTACACAATTATGAGGGGATATTAAATATAAAAAATTGCATTTAGTGTTTACTTCCTCCCTTCTCTGCTACCATTTGCTTTTAAGTTTCCTGGATGTTTTAGACATTTGCAGTTGATGCATTGTGCTTTTTATTTCATCGTACGTCTGGCTGCCACTAGATGGTGATAGACATGTGTACAATATTAACAACTGCACATCAGTGAAGATCAGGGCTCATTTTCATATGACCCTCAATAATTGACTAGGAAATCAGTACTTACTAGAACAGTGTAATTTTGATTCAGCCCTGTGAGCAAGAGCATTGCATGGAGCTTTTTATAGCAAAGAAATATTCTGCCTGGCACCCAACATGCCTCTCCTTATGGCAGCAGTCTCCTGTGCCAAATTTGTAGTAGACTTTCAGAAGACAGCAGTTCTCCTAAAAACAATTCTGCATGAGGACTGTTGCTGTACTCAAGGTTTTTGGATTCTCTATTCAGTACCTCAGCCTGCTTAATTACAGGGATAAAGGGTATGGTTGAAGTTTGGGAGGAAGTGTTTTCCTTTAGAAAAAACTTATTCTAGGAAAGATGCAAAGAACCCACATATTCTAGGTCAAGAGGCTGACTGTATGGGTTTCTGAGCAGCCAGGAGTGGATCATTTAGTCCTAAGGTGCTTTTCTTTCAAATCAATAAAGAATTCTTCACTGTCATCGTAACATAACATAAAATGGCTTGCTCTGAAATCAGCACCACCAACTGCCATGTGATGGAAGATGTGTGAAGTGCAGTGGCTTTGATACTTCAGAGCTGGACCTTAGCCTTGATTGTTTCTGTGCACCTAGGAAGGAGCAAGGTGGAACATGAAGAAAACAGATGGTCATTTTTCCTTCAAATGGTTGTTTCAGTCAGCTAATCGGGTTTTACTAGAGACTCATATTGTTGCCCTTCATCTCTCTATGTTCCAAGTTTTAAGTATATCTAATGAGATAGAAGTTAGATCTCTGTTTTATAGAAGTTTTTAAGAGATCAACTTTTATATGAAGCTCAAATGAAACATTTAATTCCACAGGGAGTAATTTTGCCTATTGAAAAAACATACATTCATTTTGTAGGTGTCTTTCTTGGAAGCAGAAAGGTTCTTTTCAAGCAACTGACAATGTTTTAGTTGTAGATAAACTAGAGAAATTATTTTGTACTTTTTTCATCACTACCTCAATGCAGACGGATTGGACATCCTTACATGGAAATCCTCAATTGGATTTCTTTACTTCTGTTTAACATAAGTTTTCTTATTTGTTTTTAGAATCACCAGATGCTGACATTGCCATGGAGGTAGCTACATCCGAACAGCATGTTTCTGAGGCAATATATGACTGTGTTATTTGTGGACAAAGTGGCCCTTCTACTGAAGACAGACCTACAGGGCTAGTTGTACTATTACAGGCATCCTCAGGTATGACTGTGTGGCTTGTAGGAAAAGCAGTGTTTCTGCAGCTTTTAGCATGTGTGCGTAAATCCTGTTGTGTCTCGTGAAGTCTGGAAGCACAGGGTTTTCTGTGTTGTTTATGGGTGGTCCTCTATGAGACACATAAGGAGCTTTTTAAAAGTTTGGAGAAAGAACAAGTAGTTTAATTCCCTCCTACTTTCTATTAGCTTTTGCAAATGCAGCAGTGCATTACAGACCTGCAGGAAAATCAGTACTGGAGGGAAAAGAAAATTAAACAGCCATCAGTGTATCTGCATGTAAATACAAATGTTAGTGGGTATAGGTGTTTGTGTGTATATATATATAAAATGTACAAGTGCAAAAGAACTCTCAGTATTTAGATTATTTAGTAAGTTTTTACTTTTTACCATCAACAAAGCACATTATAGTTACAAACCAAAATTGCCTGATTGTTTGTTACCCGTGGCATCATGTGTTGCTACTTCTCTTCTCGCAGTGTTGGGGCAGTGCCGCAACAGCAGCGAGCCGAGGAGACTCCCCACTACTGAAGAGGAGCAGATCTACCCCTGGGATACGTGTGCGGCGCTGCACGACGTGAGGCTGACAACGCTGCAGCGGTACTTCAAAGATGTAAGGATGTCATGTGAGCTAGACTAGCACTTAAGAAAAATTTGTTTGTAAAAAGTTAAATGAAATTGCTATTTAGTGAATGCTTTTACATGTTGCAGTCATTCTGAAGTGTTTACATTTGATAGGTTTTTTATTTTTAAATAGTTTCTGTCTTTCTCCCATTATGTTTTTGGCAATAGGCGTCTAGTATATCTACAGGCTACACAGTCATTAAACATCCACACAAATACTCTCTAGAAGGTGTTTCACAATCCAGTGTGACCACACAATTGAAATTTGTGTTCACTGTCTAAGCAAACACCTGTTCTCTTGTAGCCATTCAGAAAACCCAGTCAAGGAATTACTCTTAATCAGGCAAAAGTATTTTGGAAGGGCAAAGTGGAAAGAGTTGTTTTAGTTTTAATCTGTAACAGATTTCTGAGCCACTACAGAGAAGGGGAGTATGAGTAGATGGGAAGAAGAAACCAAGAGAATGCATCCTCTTCTACTGAATACTCTGCACAACATCTGAAGTTCAATTTTACATTAATTGATAGTAAATGTCTGCTTTGCAGTTCTGTTAGCTGTTCTGAACAGTTCTACACTACTTCACAAAGCCAAGTTACAGCTTTTCACGTTTAATTTTGAGAACCAATTTTTGTTGCTTAGCAGGACATATTCAATTGTAGACCTTTGTGGAAGGGCTGCCTGTCACTTCCCTTGCTAGTGCCTAAAACAGCTATGTAAGATAATACACAGCTGTTCTGAGAAATCATTTTTGGGGAAAATAATATGGAACCTGTGATGCTAAATTAGCTTCTATAGAATAGTCCTCGGTGAGATGCCAGCTTTTCAGTGTATCTAACTAAATAATGAGCCTTTAGAAGCTTAAAGATTGTCTTTAAAGTAGGAAAACTGGCGATTTTTATTCTAACGTATTTGCTAGCTTTTTCATAATGACATCCACAGATAATTAAGATTTACCAACTGCAGCCAGCAGGAGAAAGTCTTTCTTATTTTATGGCCTGAGAGGCTTACAGCACATTATGATTTACAGGTGGAGGCATGGTAAACAGGAGCATGCCCCATAGCTAAAATTTGTGATTTTGTTTTGATTTCCTGCTCATATGCAGAGAAAAAAAAATGATACTAGGACACCCTTAGAAAATGCAAGTATCAGAGTTGTTCATGGTACTCTGATTTTGCATCATACATTAAGACTGTTTTAGGGTTGGTCCACGCAAAAAATTATTTTCCAATTCTGGTAGCCATAAATCTTTGTCTGTGCTTTAAATGTATAACCAGAATGTACATTTCAGTATGTGTATGAAATTTTTGAGAAATGGAAATTTAATACTTAGACTGACTATATTTGCATATTCTGCGAGAGAATTTTCTAGAATTCTTTATAAATTTGCCAGAGGTGATTGTTTCTTCAGGTCATTATTTTCTGAAAAAAATACCAGTGGGGTAACTTTTTAGGACTTGTGGGCTGTAAGTGCAGTCTTCCAATAAGGCCAATGTTTTCAAAACAAACTTACTATACAACTGAGTTCTCAAAACAACTATTTGTTCTCTTTTCCAATTATGATGAGTTATATATGATGCTGTTCAACAACTCATTAAACCCCCTAAGTGTTTACACTGAATTTTAATAACAGATTGTGGTTTAATTATATAACTATGGTATTGTTATTTTGGTTATCTACTAAACTGAATGAAATGTCTTGGAACAGTATATTGCCCTTGTAAATGGGATCACTTCTGCTATTGGAACAGCTGTTGGAGTTAGAGCCACCTTCATGCAGTAATACAAGAGATTCCTTAAAGAAGTTATCTTAAGTGACAAGAACTGCAGAAGTTTAACTATTGCAAAGAATAGCGTAATAGCTGCCGTGTCAGTCAGCATAAATAAACACTTTTTAGAAGATATTTTTTATTTCCTCAGGATATCTTTCATTGGGTAGCATGCAAATAGAAATCCTATCTATCTGGCAAATCTTGAAGTTTTAGTAAATACTTTTACAGCTTTATGTATAATGGTTGTTGTTTTTTCTTACTGTTGTTGCTTTGATTTAGAGTTCCTGCCTACAAGCAGTGTCAATAGGCTGGGAAGGAGGTGTTTATGTACAAACCTGTGGTCACACTTTACACATAGATTGTCACAAATCTTACATGGAATCCTTACGGGTAAGTGAAACTGAGGGTCATAGTTGTTTATTTGGATCTGAACTGCTTTTACGGAAATCAGTTGGATTTATGCTGTTCAAATCAGATCAATCCAATGTTTTGTATGCCTGTACAAAAGTTTCATTATGTTTTGAGAACTTAATAACTTAATCTCTTATTGCATCTAGACATTATTAACAAAAGTACTTTGTTTTCTGTTATTCTGATATATCTGAAAAAATCTTGTGCAAAATTAACCAGCACAAAAAAATAAAGACTAAGTGATGACTTCTTTTTTCATGTGAACTAGCATTTTTGTTCAAGATTACTTTACAGGGTATTTCTTCAGGTTTTGGGTTTGTGGGTCTTTTGGTGGGGTTTTGTTTGTTTGGGGGAGGGGGATGGTTGGTGGATGAGGGTGTTTGTAGTTTTTGTTAGTTGGTTTTTCTGGTTTAGGATTTTTTTGGTAATTTTTGTTGATTTCTTTTCATTTTGAGAAACTGTGAGCAATTCCTTGTATTTTTAGTATCAGCATTGCTCCTACTGTGTAAAGCTTAACCTCTAAAGAAACTAGAAGGTGTGCAACCTTTCTTGGATCCCATGATGAATTCTTTTCTGTATTCATTTAAATTTGCTTGCAGCAGTAATTGTATCATCAAGATAAATATAAAATATAATAAAAATCACATAAAGTAATGTAGCAGCAAAATCTGGACTTTCATGGTAGAGTCTCCCTTTACAGAATTTTGGAAAAGTGATTTTTTGCATCATATAAATTCTAAAGTAATTTTTCTGGTGGATTCTCTATTAAAGTTGAAACAAACTTCTATTCCATGCAATTGAATTCTTGAAGATTCTAGATTATTTAAGTGAACTTCTTATCCTAGCATGTTTTCCTAGTACATAGATGAGTGCATAATAAATTTGACTATTTACTACCATTTTTAGGACTGAAATAATTTATATAGACCTGTGTTGATCTGGATAAAACATTTATTTTTACATAATACAGTTAGATGTCAACATGCGAAGCCATGGAGGCAACTCACGAAGTTGAATCAAGGTTTCTTGCCAGTTAACGGGAGTACTGAGGACACATCCTCACTTTCCAAATGTGTACTTCTGTGCCCATTCTTTCATCCTTCATGTAATACAAGAAATAATCAGTTTTCTTTTCATGCTGCCTGCCAATGGCTACTTGATTAGGTTTTTTTCAGCCTGTACTTGGAGTCTCAAACTTTATGGGAATTGTCAGAAAGAAACAACACACATGAAATGTTGGAAATACTCCATTGAAGTCTTTCTACTTTATTCTGGGGATATTGTTGACAATGGAGAGTGCTTAAAAATCAGGAAAATTAATTGAGTTGGAGGATTGTAAGACATCTTTAGTAGCTAAGACCTTTGTCAGTAAAATGGATAACTATTCTAATTATTCTTTCTTTACAGTTTTAGGTTTTAGACTTAGTTTTTTCCGCTATACACCTGAAATATCAAGCTAAAAAACAATAATCGTTCACAAATTTCAGCTCCATCTTTTTTATTTCTTTTAGAATGACCAAGTCCTCCAGGGTTTTTCAGTGGACAAAGGAGAATTTACCTGTCCCCTGTGTAGGCAGTTTGCCAACAGCGTTCTTCCTTGTTATCCTGGAAACAACATGGAAAGAAGCGTTTGGCAAAGTCACAGTAACAAGTGTATGCAAGATCTTGTGCAAGAGGTGGAAGACCTTCAAGAACAGCTGGGAACTTTCCCAGTAAGCATCAGTGTAAGGCAGAAAGATCCTTGTTAATTTGCCTCTACCTTTCAGTTTTTACGTTATATTGCATTTGTGATATCTTAGAATCCTGGCAACCTCGGAAAGTTCCTTTACTTCTGATACTGAAGGCAACATACTATTGTTTTCTTATCAAGAAACTTAGGGCATTTACTGCATTACCTACTAAAAATAAACAGTTGAAAGCTGTGACATTAATATAATGTCATTGAAAGCTGTGACATGTCATTAATATAATTTTTTATAGAGTACATTTTCAGTTTTCTCCATAGTAATTTGCATAGAACGAAGTCATGTAATATAAAGTATAATTACAATTTTCATGCAATGAAAAAGCAGCAATAGTCTTGTAACAGGGAGCTATTTAAACAATGCCTCTAAAGAGCTTTTAAGATATTGGACTATTAATTTTACAGAAATATCCATTTGCAGATGCTCATGTGTTACAAAGCTTCATGAGGTCCTCTGAATGACAGCATAAATTATATTAAATTTTGTTACCTTCAAGTCTTGATGGAGATGCTTTGTGGTTCTGCATTCCTGTATAGTGCAAATATACTTTAAAATAGCACAAGCACTGAGATTCTTAAACTTAGGAGATGGACAAACCAGTTATGTTTTCATATTCAGAACAAATCAGAATAACTTTCCAAAATATCCTGACACTTCTGTGAGACAGAATACTGACTTTTCATGCATATTTTTTCGTAACCTGCAAATGTGTTTTACAGATATGAAAGTGCTACGCTTTACAATCAGCTACTGCATTTCTTCAGGTAAAATTAACTAATCTTCTTTTGTGTCTTTGTTCATAGTCTGAAACCAACCTCAGTAAAGAAATGGAATCTGTAATGAAAGATATAAAAAGTACCACACAGAAGAAGTATACAGATTATAGTAAGACTCCTGGATCACCTGACAATGATTTCCTGTTTATGTATTCTGTAGCCAGGTGGGTATGTTTTTCTTTTTATATTTTTTCTTTTGTATTTCTCACGAATGGTATTAGTCACTAGATAGCTTTCTTCTTTTAAAAAAAAAGCATTTAAAAATATTTCATCCTCTCCGAAAAGGACTTTTTGCATACTCAGTACATCAAGGTTACATTTTCTGATTTTCATATACAGGCATTATGCAAGATGAAAACATGTGTCTTTCAGTTCATTTTTACTATGTGTAGCAGTGGCACAAAACCCAGAGAACATTGTCGTATGCTTATTTAGTCTTCTTCTTAATTCAAGGTTTTGCTTTCCATAAATCAAAATTTTATGTTGCATTTCTTATTTGGCTTTCCTTTCCCAAATTGTCTAATCTACTTTATCTGTCTTCTACAGAATGAGACTTTTTCTGTATCACAGCCATATTGCTAGTTTTTTTTAATCACAAGGTGTTTTTTATCTCTCTGCCACACATTAGTTTTATTTACTTAAAAGAATATCACAGAAGGAGCTTTTTTTATTACATCAGTAACCAGGAATTTCTCTTTACATAGTCTTTAGACTTCTAAAAACTGTCAAAACCAGCAGCGTTTTTTTGGCGATGTTTGATTGTTGTTTTAGAGCTGTCAGTGTCACATACGTTCTCCAAGAAAATCAGCCCCTCCTTCTTTACCTTTCATGTTAAGGTAGTCTGAATGGTTAATCCATTCAGAGTTACTGTAATACCAGGTTTTCCCATAAGAGCTTGATATACTCACTAAGCAAATAATTTTCTAAAGTCTGACTTACTGAGGCCTGCAGGGAAGGTGCTGACTGCAGAGAAACTGCAAGCATAGAAGTGATGCCATTGAGTAGCATTTTTTACTGCAGTTTCATAAACTCTCATGGCTGAGTGTCTTTAGTATATAAGCAGTGGAAATATTCAAGGCTTGGCTCAGCAGGACTCAGAGGTTCCATTCATCAGGACTCTCTAAGGTTTCGCTTTTCACAGGAGGTTAGATCATCTAATTTCTAGAATTCTCCTCCCTCTCAGATTATTGTATTATTCTATTAAGAGAAATACTGTCTGTATTCTTTCAGAGTATTTTAACTGATACAGAAGAGCTATGAAATTGTATACATATCAAGCTAAAGGATTATTCTGTATTTTTGAATTATATATGCTAGATGAGGATAAGTAGTGTTGGGATTTTTAGCAATTATGTGTTTGATAAATACAGTTAAATACTGTTCCAAAAATACAAAGGACTCAAAATTAATATTTCATGTATCGAAGTATGATTGCTTGCAACTGTAACTTGACATGTCATTTAAGATACAAAAATGGTGTTAAAATACATTTCTGGGTGCAATGTTATATAACTTTTAAAATGCTAGCTAAACATATTTTAAATGTATCTGTGTATTACTTTTATATTTACACACAGAGCTCAAGATTTATTTTCACTCAAAGAGTTAAAAATACCTCAAACCAGAACAGCATTTCATTGCTGCTTGCACTGCTGGAGAGAGAAATTGTGGCTGACCACTAAGATTAGGATATGTCACTTGTACTCCTTGTGACCTCTTCCTGTTAGGGTTAGACTTGTGTCACCAATTTTCCATTTATTCATGTTTGAGAAATTTCAGGTGTTGGATCCAGCCTTCTGTATTGTTACTATAACTCATAAGATCACTTACGAGGGAACCTGGCAGATCAGCTTCAAGGTGGTTAACTTGTCTTGCTTTTCAGTGCAGCAATCCAGATTTACATGCTTCTACTACTTGATAATTGCATAAGAACAGCAGGGTTAAAAAAAATTAAACTTGTAAATAGACATTTTAATATAGCTTTAGAGTTTGTATTTATGGAAATAAATCTGTACATCGTCTTCCAAACTGGAAGAGTTTGCTTTGTAGGATTTTATTATTTCAAGAACTCAAACAACTGACTATCCATGATTAAAATTACATACTGAAGTAGTTTTACTTTCTGTAAATTATTCCTGTCATTCGACCTGTTTCTCCCTTATTTCCATCCAGAGTTTTTCTTGAGGTAATGATACCCTTGTGTTCCTGTACCAACCAGTAACCTTTGAGCATTTCTAGTTCCAGCTGTTCTGAAGCATTTAATTGTTTTTGGTCAGACCATCTACAGCTTTCACAGTTTTTCCTGGTATTTAACTTTTGCTTAGATGAGCATTTGAATACAATGATATTTTTATTAACTCCGTATATTTCCGTGTGAATTAAATGCTCTTAATCTTCTTATAAGTCATGTTCCATTTTCAAGCAGAAAATGACATCATCTCCTGTCCTAAAAGATGCTGGTTTACAGCTGAATGCCAGCTTTGCAGTGGATTACTGCATGCTGGAATGGGGATGTGAATGTGAAACAATAGGTAGCCAGTTGCTGCAGGTTATTCTTACTCCTTCAGGAAAAAAGGAACTTAGTTTTCTTCATTTTTGCTTACCCAGGTATATGTCACCAGTAGCAGAGAAAAAAAAATACAAAAGAACTCTACCACCTTATGGAAGGGCTAGCTGCTGTCTGTCTTCCTAGCAAAAGAGGCATTCTGGGTCTTGGCATCCTGATTTGCATGCACAGCTGGAACAGCAGCTCCTTGGCTACCTCCTGCTTTTCCAAGAGTCATATCTTGTTAAATTTGTACCCTTTTCATGCATTCCTCATTGTCTTTGCTGACATTTATGAGATGAGTGTAGGTGTCATTCCCAAATCACGTGTGCCTAGCTTTAGTTGTAATAGTTCCACATTCAAAGCACTGAAGACTGTCATTTGAGGTGTTGTCTTGGAGGACTGCTTATGTATTGCACAGCAGCAGGTTTCATGCTTTTGTTGGCTGTACAAACAAACCTTTTGGCTTTTCTGTCAGCTATGTATAGACTAATGTAAGAGCCATGTGTTCTTTCCTTCTGAGTCTGTGTCTCAGTATCTGGGGTTTTTCCTTCTATATGTTGTGTTTCTAAATTGAAGTGAGAAAAATGATAGTGCTAGGTATGCTTTTTCTGTCCCAATAGGAAGGGCAAGTCCATCCAAATATATTCCCTTTCTGGAAAGGACACTGCATTTTTACTTCCCTCTACTCTGTCCTGGTATGAATTCTCAGAAATAGGAAATCACCCTTCCCACCCCCAATACATTCCTTTAACAAACGCCCCCAAGAAGGGATGAAGTAGGTCTGGTTTTAATCAGGAGTCAGGACAGCTGAGCAAAATCCATTTTTGCAGCGTTTTTTCTGTGAGTGAGGAGGATAAAGGCAGTGTCCTACAAAATGTTTTGCTCTACTGAATGATGCTGAGATTTCTATATTGGAAAAAGAAAATCTATAGAAATGTCTTCTTTCTCATTCTCTTTCCTTTATGTTGAGGATTCTGAGATAGCAAAAAATTCTTTAAGAGACCACTCAGTGTTCCACATTTCTATCAGATGCCCCCAGTTTTTCTTCATTACTTTTCTTCAGAAAAGGGCAGAGGGTACACAGATCTTCAAGGCAGAAGGGAGCTCAGATTAGGGAGAAGATACGCTGGTCTCCTTCAAAAATGATTGAGGTCTGTACCTGATGTAGGATATTTTCTGAAGGATAAGTGCTCATTTTCACAGAAGATGCTTTCTCTACTCTGCATTTTTATGCCAAGTTACAGATATGTTTTCAAAGAGACATATTGAAGGAAAAGGTTAATACTTACATTTCCGAGAAAGCTGAGCTATAAGGTGCTGCCTTTGAGGAGCTGGGGACAATGAGGAAGTGTGGGAGGTGAGAGTTGGTATCGTATACGTGAACGGAGTATGTGATTACCAAAATAACTTTCCTTACGTTCCTTATAGTAAAAAGTACTGTATGACACCTCATATGTACCACCAAGAGGTGTTTTTCAGAATTGTCCCTGAGGTTTTTTTTGTGAAATGGCACATATGCCTTCGTGAAAGGGAAAATGAAAATTGTAGGTCTAGAAAATTATTCTTAAACATTCAGGTAGTCTTTTTGATTTAAATCTTAATTATCTTCATTTTAATGGAAGACTCTCATTGATTTTGTTCTACATATTAGTTATCAGAATGTTCATAAAAATAACACTTACTGATTTCCTTCATATTCCCATGATGAACTAGCACATGCTGATCTACAGTTGCTATTCTGGCCACTAATATGAAATCCCTGTCCCTGCTTCCTTGCTGGTAGATTTTCAGAAGTTCAGTGAGCACTGCAAATCGCCTGAAGAGTGGAAAATTCCCCTGTCACACAGATGCCCTTATCAGCAGCAACCAGATGGAGCTCTGAGCAGGCACATTATCAATGTTAAATTGCCTTTTCTGAGTAGAGAGGATTAAAGCATTCCTTCAGAAATGGATGGCATAAGCTGCAAACTTAGGGATAGGAATATTGAGAAATGTTGCTATTTTAAAAACATAGGAAAATATCTTAACAAACAGTGCATATCAAAATGTATTATTCTTTCAAGCTGATGAAGCTGAAATTCTTGAAAATAATTTGTTTTGAATAAAAATAATCCTCTAGTTTCTTCTTAAATGGCGGGGGGCGGTGTGCTCTTAGCTTGGATGTTGTGTGCCTAAAATTCTAGAATAGATGTTAATATGGATTCAGTCACATTATATCGAACCTAAAATAGTTTCATTTTTCATTAAAGGACAAATTATGTTTCGAATGAGATTTGCAGTTTGGATTGAATTAGCAAAACAACACTTCAGAATAATAGAATTATATTCCTTCATTCTAATTTTTGAAATGTATGTTGACTTACTAAAACAGGCTCTCAGAGAATATAACATAAACTGTTTGCTCCAAAACTTGAGAGTAAAAGATAATGCAGCAATGAAACATCCAATTCCAAAATTAAACAAAATCATCAAATTTGGCTTAAACAATTGGTGCCTAAGTATCAGATCACAGTAATACTGAGAAAGAAAGCATCAGTGTGGCATGCAGAGATTCAGTGACACAACTACTGGTTCATACTAATGAGCTGCAGTGAATAGCATTTCAGAATTAACCTCCAAGGCTTTTATTAACTAACTTATCTATAAAGGGCAGTGCTTTAATTATAATTTAGACTGTATTCATATTTAGTTGATGCCATATCCATTGTACTGTCTGATTGTCTGAAGTGAAACAAAAGCTCTGCCAATGGAGAGAACACTTTTTAGATGTATATGATTGACTGAAAGTTAGCCAGTCTGTATATTGTCTTTCCAGATTTGAACATAAATTCCCTTATTATGCTGTGTGTGCATACAGAAGAAAGCCACAGAATTAACAATTTTGAATTCTTCTCTCACTACTGTGTTAATATAGTACTTAAAATCATACATGACAATATCTCAATAAAGTTTGTTGTGTTCTGAGCTGTATTTTGGCAGTATTTCACACTAAAGATTAGTTCACAGTATTATTTAGTGTATGCTGGGAGTTTGTCATGATTCATTTGTGCCTGTAGAAGCTTGAATAATCTTGTTCCCTTCAATACTGTTATGTTTTTCTTACAGAACAAACTTGGAACTTGAGCTGGTCCACCGAGGAGGAAATTTGTGTTCAGGAGGTGCAAGCACAGCTGGGAAAAGATCATGTTTAAGTAAGTTCCATGTTATTAAATGCAGTATAAATTATTAGAATATTGAATAAAGATGTCTGGTTCTTTCTGGTATTTTCTAAATTACATCAATTTTTTTCCTTTTAAAACCATTTTTTTTCTGCCATAAGGAGTCTTTGGTTTTTTGTTTCTATTAGAGAATGCACAAATTCTTCATTAGAGCTGTTCATGTCTTGTGAGTACAATTCTTTAGAAATCATCATACTATGCATGTAATATTTTTTAATAAGTTTGCATTTTTGTGAGTAATACTAGAAGTATTTTAGGGGTGAAACAGAAAGCTTTGTTCCACCCTGGTTGTTGCTAGCAATAGGAAAGGAGTTTGTTTTCTGAATGCTAATATAGGTCATGACTTAGTGCCATACTTTGAAATATGCAGCTACAACATCCCATGTCTTTAATTTGTCTAGTTCTTCCATGAAGTTTTGCAAATTTTCTTTCATAGTAATTTTCAAATTTTCTTGTACTAAAACCTTTAGTAATTGTCAAATAAAGCAACTTCTTGCTGCCAGAAGTGTTTTTTTCTGAAAAGAAAATATTTTAATCTTTTACTGGAATATAAACAGTTACAAGTGGACATTTTCTTTTGTCATGAAAAACTGGAAAGCCTGCCACAATACTGCTATTACTACTAATGCTTATTTAAGTCAAGCTTATGGAGCAATGGCAGCAGATTTCATAATAAAAAAGAAAGCTTAGGCCCATTCTGTCTTTTGGTACACAATTTCTGGGGGATGCTTTCCTCATCCTTTGAGGTGACAAGCCACCCAAGAAATCTTACCAGGTGCTATGCTGTCCACATTCCCTCTAGGACAAAAGTCTTCTGTTACTGCCCAACTAATTTCATTCGTATGTTGTTAATTTATAAAGTAGTTTTAACCTGTACTGCACATGGTCTTTCCCCATGCAAATTCAGTCAGCCAGGATTCTGCAGATAATTTATACTTAGATTGCAATGTATTTTTAATTGTATGCTCACCAATAAGATATAAACTTTCTCCCTGAATTTTAGCTTCTTACTAATGTGTTACCCGTTTCACAGGAACGTATTTGGAAGAACATGATTTGGATGAGCAGGCTAGGGTGGAGATTTTAGTTTAAAATGGAAAACTTTTGGAAAGTGAAACAATTTGTAATGATGTTACACATAGTGAGAGTGTATCTTTGTTTTGACATGGCTTTACTGGTAATAAAATTTCTTGATGTTTTAGGGTTTAGAAGAATGTATTCAGGGAAGTGGCCAGTAATTTGCAAGGTCATATTTTTATCTCACTGAGTTTTTCAAAATCAGGACATCTCAGTTTTTAGGTGTGATTTATATCTTAAGATAAAAGTGAAATGAAAGACATGCATTACATCTTAAAACACTGTGAAATGTTTGACATTACATTAAATTTTTGCTATACGTACCTATTTAAAAGCTAGCTAGCTAGATAAATACCTCTAAAAGGGAATGGATTTTCTGATGGTGTCTCACCAACTAATGTTACTAAGTGCTGGAAGATTATGACTTTGCAGAGTGCTTGAACCACTGGCTTGGTGGGCAGCTTCCTTTGTGTACATCTCTGTAGCTTCACTGTTGCTATTTGCACTACATCAGTTGATATTGAAAGGGAGAAACAACCTCAAAGTTTGGGGTTTTTTTTGTTCTTGGGCATTATTTGAAGAAAAAAGAAGGAAAAAAAATGCCACCAAGCTAAGGCCTGATAGCTGACACTAGGTGGTTTGTATAATACATTATTTCATTTTTTTCTTAGTCTTACCACACCATCCTTTCAACATCCTCTTGCATTAAGAAGGACTGTTACATTCTTGGGACCTGACTTTGCAAGAAAGCATACATTTTGCTGATGGTCTGTGAACAGAATTGTCAGGAATTTTAATACTTATTTCTCAAGCCTTGAAATACATGGAAAATACTTTAATCACTGGAGAAATTTCTTTTTGGAGAATTACAAAATCGGAAATGATACATGGAGGATGGATTTTAACTGGAGAATTGTGTTATGCTGAATGGATACTTCAGCTAGGCATGACAATTTTAAGCCTCGTTTAAATTCATATGTCATATTTACCTATTTTTCCAGCCTTTTTAGTATTTTGCCATTGGCTCTGTATGTTTCAGAAAATGAACAGGTTTTCCTTTCATCAAAATAGATTACTGAAACAAACTAAATGTACTAAACTTCCCAAAAGTTAGAGATCCTTCTCACACATGAGAAGTAAAGAAATTGTCTTTTTCAAGAGAAGCTTTAAGATCACATCAACTATTGCTTTTAAAAATATGTGCTAATTTACAAAATATAAAGTGTTCATAAATACTTCTTTTTTGGTTGGAAATCCACTGTGAAACTTTGCATTAATTGTCTGTAGGAAAAGTAAAATAGCCCAGTAAGAAAAGCTTTGTTTTCATAGAATCACAGAGGCTTAGGTTGGAAGGGATGTTAAAGATTATCCCCTTTGTATCCAGAATTGTGTATTTATATAGGGAGAAGAAATCTTTTTCCTCGTGATGTGATTTGACTGTTTTGATATATTTGCACACAGAGGTTTAATCTGAAATTGCTAGAATATTGATTAAACACCATACTGATGATTTTTTAAAACCTGATAACATATCTTGATTTTATTTTCTTTTTCTACTTAGGATACTTTGCATTTTGTGTACAATAATATTTTTCTGTTCCTTTCTTAAACTGTTGTGTAGTTTTGAGTGTATTGTACTAGTGCTTTTTCCTTCAGCACTTGCTAAAAGGATTGTAGTCATATTTCTGATAAAGGGGTGTGGACAGCATCTTACAACAATGCACTTGGTTTTTTCCACAGTTTTGGGTAGAATGGTAAATTTTCTTATTTACATCAAAGTCATATTGGTGTTTTTAATATTTATCTTGCACTCCAGAAGCATTCAAGGCCTTCCAGGTAAAGGCACCACGTATATGAATGTGTTGTTATGTTAAGCAGCACAGAGAGGTGACTGTCATCTATTCCTGATTAAAATGTTCACCTGTTGTTTATGTTCTGCATTGCTACTCTGAAAAATTGTTATGTAGCAATCTAGTCATATTTAATCTTGCATTAAAATAGACTTGTTTTTTAATGTAAGGTAATGGGATTCTCCTAGAACAGACCTGTACAGTATTTCCATTTAATATTATTATATTTGTGTTTGGACATTAGGCTAAACATGACTAGTGGGAGCAGGGTAGTTAGCTTTACACATATAGCAGGGTTTGTTTTCATTAATCCATTATATAATTGCATGTTTCCTTCATTGCCTCTTCCATATCCTTGCATTTAAGTTATGAAAAATTGCAGTTCTGTAGATTCATATTCTGAAGTACATTTTATAATCCTTCCATAGTCATTTATTTTTCTAAGAACAATCCTGGTTTTGAAGTTTCGTTTAAAATGTGCCTTCAACTTCTTCATTGTCTTCTGCAGTGAGGAAAGAATGTTTTTTACAATCCATACCCCATCTAGAACTTGAGTACTGTTTTGTTTAAGTCTTCCTTGCACAGTATTGAAACAGCTTTTGTTTCTAAACGTCTTTCATGTCAGGTTCAGCAGAAGTAATCTAAAACATAACCTGGTTTGGCTTTTTCTGTGTGTGAGATACTAAGGGTTTCTTTTGTGATTAAGCATACTACTCTGTAGTAGTCTTGTGACAACTGTGAAGTTTGGTGATTAGATATTGTGGAAAATGGAATATGTTGTCCCAGGTGAGCTGTTACAGCAGCAAACATCAGGGAAGATGGTGGGAACAAATAGGTCAAGAGCTGTTTAAGTAGATTGCACCGTGAGGGCAGCTACTCTTGGGAAGCAAAATTAAGAATGATTAATGTAGCTCTCGGTGGCAATGACCAAGTGTGTGTGAGAAGAATGGTGAAGAAAATTTGCCTGCAAAGTTGCCATTTTAAGGCTTAAAGTTTGTATGTGCAACCAAAAAATGCAAATAGTATCCTATTATTTTTCACTTAAAAATCAAGTTCTATTTGAAGAACTACATTACAGCTTTAGAGTCTATGACTTTGCGAATTCTCATGGGTTTAGGGAAAATTATGATATATAACAGCTGTACAAGTCTTATTTCTCTGTTTTATAAAGTGTAATAGACCTGTTTGTCTTCATTGTTCCGTATTTATCAAACAGGGTCAAAACAAGCATTTATGCTGAATAATTGTGATTCCTCTGTACAGTTTTTAAATAAGGCCTTGAGCAACCTGCTCTAATGGAATATGGCAGGGGTCTGGGGGCGTTGGAAGTACATGATCTCTAAGGTCAATTCCAACCCTAAGCATTCTCTGATTCTGTGACCTCTCTTTAACTTGTGTAGATGTTTTTCTTTGCTATTCACACTCTGGTAATCTTGCACTAGTTGATGAACAGTTCCACAAAATTTAAAAGTTACATATAAATGAATTTATAATCTTCCTTTTTAAACTTTGAAATAGTACTTTTCCTTCTGTCTAGTATTTTTTTGTTTGTTTTTTTTGGGTTTTTGTTTGTTTGGGTTTGTTTTTGATGTTTTTGTTTGTTGGTTTTTGTCTTGGTTTGGTTTGGTTTTTTTTTTCCTTTTTCCCCTTTGTGAGAAGGATAGGATTAGGGTTTTGGACCAAGATTAAATATTTTATCCTCTTGTCCTTTGGCTTCAGTTTCTCTGTAAATGAGCTCCTTATCCTTATGCTTCCCACAAATAGCAGTCTGGCATTGCACCATCAACTGCATTAACTGGAAAGGATGTTATTTACAACTGGACACCAAAAAATTATTTAAGAGTTTTTAAAATTCTTCTTAAGTAGGACATCTAGCACCTTTGTAACTTCTGGAATGGCTCTAAACATTGAGCTTCGTGGGAGTTGTTTTGGTTGCTTGGTTGGTTTGTTTTGGTTTTCTTTTTCTCATTCATTTGAAGCCTTTATCTTGATTGTGGTGTTAGTTTTATCAGTGCTTTTAGTGTTTTTGTGAACATAGAAACTCAT